GGAGAAGGAGGGAGGGGGGCCAGAGGAGGGGAGAAGGAGGGAGGGGGGCCAGAGGAGGGGAGAAGGAGGGAGGGGGGCCAGAGGAGGGGAGGAGGGGAGGGGGGCCAGAGGAGGGGAGAAGGAGGGAGAGGGGCCAGAGGAGGGGAGAAGGAGGGAGGGGGGCCAGAGGAGGGGAGAAGGAGGGAGAGGGGCCAGAGGAGGGGAGAAGGAGGGAGGGGGGCCAGAGGAGGGGAGAAGAAGGGAGGGGGGCCAGAGGAGGGGAGAAGGAGGGAGGGGGGCCAGAGGAGGGGAGAAGGAGGGAGAGGGGCCAGAGGAGGGGAGAAGGAGGGAGGGGGGCCAGAGGAGGGAGAGAAGAGGGAGAGGGCCAGAGGAGGGGAGAAGGAGGGGGGGGGCCAGAGGAGGGGAGAAGGAGGGAGGGGGGCCAGAGGAGGGGAGAAGGAGGGAGGGGGGCCAGAGGAGGGGAGGAGGGAGGGGGGCCAGAGGAGGGGAGAAGGAGGGAAGAGGGCCAGAGGAGGGGGGAAGGAGGGAGGGGGGCCAGAGGAGGGGAGAAGGAGGAGATGGGGCCAGAGGAGGGGAGAAGGAGGGAGGGGGCCAGAGGAGGGGAGAAGGAGGGAGAGGGGCCAGAGGAGGGGAGAAGGGGAGGGGCGAGGAGGGGAGCAGAGGAGGGGCCAAGGAGGGGAGAAGGAGGGAGGGGGGCCAGAGGAGGGGAGAAGGAGGGAGGGGGGCCAGAGGAGGGGACAAGGAGGGAGGGGGGCCAGAGGAGGGGAGGAGGGAGGGGGGCCAGAGGAGGGGAGAAGGAGGGAGAGGGGCCAGAGGAGGGGAGAAGGAGGGAGGGGGGCCAGAGGAGGGGAGAAGGAGGGAGAGGGGCCAGAGGAGGGGAGAAGGAGGGAGGGGGGCCAGAGGAGGGGAGAAGGAGGGAGGGGGGCCAGAGGAGGGAGAAGGAAGGGAGGGGGCCAGAGGAGGGGACAAGGAGTGAGGGGGGCCAGAGGAGGGGAGGAGGGAGGGGGGCCAGAGGAGGGGAGAAGGAGGGAGAGGGGCCAGAGGAGGGGAGAAGGAGGGAGGGGGGCCAGAGGAGGGGAGAAGGGGAGGGAAAATTGAGGGAACGAAGTGGCGGCGTGGGCGAGGGTTTGCGCGTTGGCGTGGATGAAGAGATTGGTCGATCCCACACGCTCTGCCAGCGGCCACTTCCAACTGGCAAGAGAACATGAGGGCAGAGGAACGGGGAAGCAGATGGCGCGGTACGGTGCGGTGCGGTGGTGCGGTGCAGTGTGGTTGGCGCATGCATACCTGTTCCGAGGAACGAGCGCGGTGTGCCCCGTGCGCTTGATGAATGGGCAGAGCGCCGCGACGGCGAAGCAGATGGCGAGTGACGTGGCAGACATGGCGCGCTTGTCGGTGGGCGAGTCGACCACCGCCACCAGCGACTGAGGGGAGGGGAGAGGAGTGGGGGGGATTACGGGGAAGTGAGGGGGCATGAGATGCGGGGAAACTAGCACCCAATTGGGGATGGGCGATCACATCTATAAGATCCAGCTTTCGATATTGTCACACTCACCTGCATCATAACGAAGATGGTGAACGCGCCGAAGGGGAAGCGGAAGGGGAAGTAAAAGGGACGTCCCCCAATCTCTAATACGCAATGTAACTCTCGTTATTGTCACGATCACTTACCTGCATCATTAGGAAGATGGTGAACGCGCCGAAGGGGAAGTACTTGTTCAGCCGCGGCAGGTACTGTGTATCCGTGCCGTCCGTTACGAGCCGCGCCACGTCAGTCCGCGCTAGGAACCCTGGAGGATGCGGGAACACGCGGGGGAGGGTGGGGGTCAGAGGGTTGTGACACGCTGACGAGGTTGGCGAAAGGGTTACACGACACGCTAACGAGATTTGCGAAGTTTGCAAGTATGTAAGAAAACAAAATTCGGGAATCAATAGCGAAAACGGAAACAGGGGTTACCTGGTTCGTCATCCGTCGCCTCCTCGTCCAGGTCCATGCTGCTCGTCAAATCAGGGTCCTCCACGTCACCACGGAAATAATCCCCATGCCTATCCACTTGCTCCAGCAGCTGAAACAATTTCCCCGCGTTTCCTCCCGCCATCATCCCTTCCGCCATATTCACAAACCCTTCGCTACTATCATTTCCACGCCGATCGCCAGCAGAACCGTCGATCAACCCGGATTTCCCGCTGGCTCCGTCCCCGAGCCGCATCTGCCCGGATAGGCGACGCGACACGGGCCTGGAGTTGCCAGCTGCTGGGGAGCCGTTTGCTGCAAGTCGTTGACTAACGGATAGTGTTCCGGATTTTGCCACGTGGGACGCTTGTGAGCCAATGGCAGCTTCGGAAAAGATGGTAACCGCCACCGACGCGGCTTGTTCTAGTCCTGGCGCGTCTGTCGCGGAACTGTCGCTCTCGCTCCGATCAGGCACCCCTGCGACAGCAGACGACGACGGCGACGAGTCGTCGTCTTCGTTCTCCTCGTCGCCCTCTGCGACGCCCTCCATGGCGACGCCGAAATGGTCGCGACGTCGCAGGCGATATCGCGGCCAGCTGCTGCGAACGACCTTGTGAATCGGCAGGCGAATGTTTCGCAGGGCAGGGTCAATGTTCGGATCGCCTCCTCCAATCCCGCCGTTGTTCGCGGAGCCCGAGTCCAGCTGTAACCCGCTTACGCATTCCCCCGATCCCGCGCCAAGGCGGGATCGGCGGAAGGTAGCGGTGGGGGAGGGGGAAGCATTCTTAACGAATAGAAATTCCTCCCACTCGCGCAACACCATGGGGGAGTGGGGGGGAAGAAGGCCCGGGGAAGCGTTCGGTTGCGGGGTGATACCTCCGCTTCCGCGCCCAGGCGATGCGGAGATCCTTCCGCTTCCGCTTGCCGTGCGCGCAGGGGATGGGGTCGACAAGCCGATGCTGGAGAGTGAGGCGCGATCGCAGGAGAGCGCGCGCTGAAGATCCAACGGTTGCGATGAAGAGTTGGAGGCACGAGGTGCGGGCGATGTTGATTGGCTATGAGGGCGACGATCCTCCCATGGCTGATGGTGTGGGAAGCGGTGAAAAACGGTGAGAGGAGAATCAGAGAGGTGGGTCATTGGGAGAAAAGGGTGGAAAAACAACACACCCCGTGTGTGCCTCTGTGGATGCTAGAGAGTATCGAGCACGAAGGGTAAGATACGGAGAATTTCGCATATGATCTAATCAGACGGCGAGGTGATCGAAAATCATAATGATGTTGGTATTTGCGAAGGGCCTTAGGTACACGGCAAACCCATCGAATTATCCGGCGAGATGGTCGCAAACCGCGATGTAATTAGCATTTGCCAAGAGCCTTAGTCTCGAGCTCATGGCAAGCATCGCAAACACGGCAAACCCCTGGAGTCATCCGCAAACCCGCATTGAGGCACTCTGAATTTTACAATTCAGCCGACAAATGGAAACGCATAATTGAAAATGCATTCTGCTCGCCTTGGAGCTCGCGCTTCCATTTCGAAAGCATATCTGAATGCATTTCCGGCAACGTTTTTGGAGACTTTATTCGACACTCTGTTCGCGTACAAGAAGCTCCAATAATATTTCAGTAAACAATCCCAAGTTGATATTTGTTATCTCACATCAGTTTTCCTAGACTGCTTCAAACAAGAACTTAGAAACGACACTCACCGCAGCCCACGCGTCGCACAGCTGCAGCAGCTCGTTCGGCGTGAACACCGTGCGACACTCTGACTTTTCGGACCGCGGCGTCGACGTCATCGAGTCGTCGCGGCACATTTGGTTCGCTGCGGCTCCGCCCTCGCTCTGCACCGCCGCCCTCTCGCCTCTTGTTCCGCTTTCGCTCCCCTTGCTAGTCGACGCGTCCACGCCGCGGGCCGACGTGTCTTCTCTGAGAGTCGACGAGTCTGAAATGTCTCCGGATCGCGCCTCCTCGTCTCCTTCCGTGACGGGCGGGAGGGAGGGAGCAAGTCGCTGCGACGGCATATTGTTAAGCTCGCTAAAAGTTGTATGCGTTATAAAGCTGTCTAAATTGCTATCAACAAGGTAGACAGAACTGCCCACTACTCTTATCGTGGTTAAACCCCGAATTGCTGTCTGAATTGCTATCAACAAGGTGGACTAGAACTTTCTATTCTAGATCTAGATATACATTACGAAGGTGGAGATTGCGAAGAGAGGCTCTGTAGCAACAGGGGGTGAAAACTGACGCTAAGAATATCGGAGCTCCGTAACGCGCAGCTTGACATAGCTGGAACTACTAGTAGGAGCTAAGCAGAGCTAGAGGAGGATCCTTAACTTGCAGCGATGATGAGGTAGACATGTTAAAGGCAGTAAACTATTAGCAACGTTCGTTGAATCTCGATTCAACTAGTCGGACGAGTGAAAAGAATCGGGACGCAGATGCACGTGCAAATGCGAACACCTTGGTTGTCCCTAGGCGAAGTAGCTAGACGCTGGGGGCGGATGACCAAACATGCGCTTTTGCTTTGTTTCGTCCTGCCCTCCTAATCTTCAGTGCACAGGGAAAGCGACCAAGACGGTCTTGTTTGTGCAGGAGCCAGTGGGATGTGAAAGGGTGCTAATTCTGCAGCTGGGCGACGTGTGCGAGAGAATAGCCTAGTCCCATGCCCGAAATCGATCGACGGGAGAAGCGAGACGAGAGGAGAGGCAACAAGGGTACGGCTCATAGCTCATTTCAAGCTCCTGGTAACAAGGGGACGGCTCCGAGTTGGAGATGGGGGTGTACTGTAGAGCAGAGCACAACACATCCGCATAGGGTTCAAGCAAGCCCGCCCCGCGTGATGTGATGCTGGAGTGGTGGTGAGGTGATGGTGGGGGCGGGGGGTCCGCCTGGCTGGGTGGGTGAGATGGGAATGGGATGGGGATGGGATCACAGGATGGCCCTCACGTTCCGTGCGATGTGCAGTGGCATTGGATGGCCTGTAAAGTGGAAACAAATCTCGAATCGCGGGGGCCAGGAAACTGGCGTGCGTGGACGCGGTTCGGCCGGGAGGAGAAAGGGTTGACGTGGCGTGGATGGTCTTTTTTGAGTGTTTCTGATTTGCCAGAAGGGAGGAGGGGGGGTATGATGGTGGGGCGAAATTTGCTGGTTGGTGGCGCAAAGCACGGAAGGTCGTTCCCGCCACTTTTAGGTGGCCTTGGCTAGCTAGTCTCTTGTTGGCTTTGCGTGGGGACGTGCGATGACGATGCGCGTATTGCTTGTAACGAAGTGCGCAAAAGCCCAATCTGGTGCGAGGGCCAACAAATCAAGCCAAAAGACAATATCTTGAATAGATACACCTACCCGTTTACTGCACATGATACTAAATAAATGTCATGAACACACACACATATATCGCTCATTTATCAGAGGACTAAAATTACGGTTAATGGTTTCTAATGGTCACAAGGGAACTACAATGTTGTACAGAATATGATTATTTTCACAAATATTTGAAGCAGTATATTTATTTTTTACAAAGGAATCTGATTTTAATTATGTGTTTCACAATGATATATAAGGCCGAGCGCACATTTCTTGACCCTGTCATGGTTTTCTTTGTTGATTTTTGAAGGACAGACGACTCTGAATATGTATGTAAACAGAGAACGCCAGTCAAAACAACTACACTGTATCATAAAACGAAACTGCAATGCGGGTCACAGGGGTTTTGGGTTACAGCCATAAAGGCCCACCATAAACCCCTCTCGAGGCGATACCCTCTCAAAAGGGTTCATCCACGCGGCTACATTCTGCGTCGCTTCGCCGAGACGGCGTTTCCCGTTCCCTAAGGCTTCACTTTGTTGCGCGTTTTCAATTTGCCGAGACTGCAGGCCTGTCTCGCCGAGCAGGCGGAGATAATGGGAAGCTCCAGCTCCGCCAAGAAGTCCCCGCGCGCGCGCGCGGAGCAGAAGGCGGAAAAAACTCCGAGCAAACGAAAAAGCTCCTTGGGGAAAGCTGACGGGGCCAATGCGGAGGCGGGCGGAAGCGGAGCAGGTGTTGTCGGAGCGGTTGGTTCCGCGAAGCGGCGGAAAGTTGCGCGGATGGCGGAAGCGACGGCAGAAGGCGCGGCAGAGAGGTCCGCCGGAGCGGTTTCCGCCAAAGGCGAACGGAAGAACGACAATGGCGACGTGGGCTCGGGGGAAGGGGACGATTCGGGTTATATTCTTAAAGGAATTTCTCTAGACGAGGACGTAGACGCGTTAGTCGCGGAGCGGGAACGAGCGTCGAGGAAGCGTCCCGGAAAATCCGCTAAGACCGCCAAGAGAGGGATTAATGAGTCGAATAACGAGGTAACGAAGGATAAAAAGAAGGGAAATGCTAAGAAGGGGCGTGCGGAACGATCAAATGCGAAGCCCGCGGGGAAAGCGGGGAAAGCGGGGGAAGCGGGGAGAGCCAGGGGAGCGGAAGAGGCAAGGCGGGCGAGAGAGGGGGGGATGACGGAGGCGCAGCGGCAGGAGGAGAGGGAGAAGGAAGCGCTGAAGGCGCAAGGGTACAAGGAAGAGGATTTCAAGGTGCGCGTGGGGGGGGGGGGGGGGAGCTTGTGTGGGCTAATTGTGTGGGGATTTGGGTGGAGGAAAGGAAGATGGGGGGAGGAGAGGGCGGAGAGGGCGGAGAGGGAGAAGGAAGCGCTGAAGGTGCAAGGGTACAAGGAGGAGAATTTCAAGGTGCGCGTGGGGGGAGCTTGTGTGGGTTCAGGGCAAGTAGTGGAGGGAGGGGACGATGGGGGGAGGAGAGGGCGGAGAGGGAGAGGGAAGAGCGGAGGGCGCAAGGGTACAAGGAGGAGGATTTCAAGGTGGGAGGGGGAGTGGAGTGAGGTGGGGGGAAGTGGGAAGGGAGTGGGGAAGAGAGGGGGGCAGGGGGGACGGGACGGGGTGTGGGGTGGTTTGAGGTGACTAAGAAACGCTCTAGGCACGTGGGTGCAACGAAGAGGATTTTACGGTGAGAAAAGGGGAACTCGAGGCTGGTGAGAAAGTGGGGGAGGAGGGGGACGTTGGGGGAAAGAGCTGCACGGGTTTCAGGTTTAAGGTTTTGTGGCGGAGACTCTGCACGGGAGGTAGAGCCGTGAGGACACAGAAATATGTGAGCAGGAGAGAGGGTTTAGGGGTTAAGATGGAGTGGCGTGGGTGCAAGTGGCAGGAGGAAGAGGTCCGGGGTCTAGGGTTTAGCAAGAATATTGAGGGGCGTGAAGGGTGTGTTTTGAGTAGACTCAAAACACACCTGGCAGGAGGAAGAGGTCCAGGGTCTAGGGTTTAGCAAGAATATTGAGGGGCGTGAAGGGGGGATGCTCTATGGCGTGGTGTGGTGTGGGTGTTGGTGGCGGGAAAAGGCGATTTTTTAGTCGACTCAAAAATCGCCTCATCACACGTGAAGGGGGGGATGCTGTATGGCGTGGTGTGGGTGCTGGTGGCGGGAAAAAAGGGTTTAGGTTTTGGATGTGATTAAAGGAGTAGAAATGAAGGGGGAAGCAGCGGAGCAAGGGGCGTCTTGTATCTCCCTTTCCCCCACTCTCCCCCACTCTCCCCCCACAGGTGTCAGCAGCAATAGCGCTGGATGCAGTGAGGAGGGGCACGTGGGATAGGACAGCAAGGGCGTGTCTTCTTCCCTCTTCAACACTGACCTCTATAACCTATTCCCCCCCAACCTTCCCCATCCATTCGCCCCCCCAGTGCTGGCAGCAATACCGCTGGATGCAGTGAGGAGGGGATCGTGGGATAGGACAGCAAGGGCATGTCTTCTTCCCTCTTCAACACTAACCTCTATAACCTATTCCCCCCCAACCTTCCCCATCCATTCGCCCCCCCAGGTGCTGGCAGCAATACCGCTGGATGCAGTGAGGAGGGGATCGTGGGATAGGACAGCAAGGGCATGTCTTCTTCCCTCTTCAACACTAACCTCTATAACCTATTCCCCCCCAACCTTCCCCATCCACTCGCCCCCCCAGGTGCTGGCAGCAATACCGCTGGATGCAGTGAGGAGGGGCGCGTGGGGCAGCAAGGGGGACTGGGGGACGTGGCTGCAGGGCAGGGGGAGGGGAAAAGGGGAAGGTGGAGGATCATTCATTATCCCCTCTCGCATGACTCTCCCCCATTCTCCCCAACAGGTGCTGGCAGCAATAGCACTCGATGCTGTTAGGAGGCGCGCATGGGGGAGCAAGGGGGACTGGGGGAAGTGGCTGCAGGGCAGGGGGAGAACCCTTCCCCTCCACAAGCGCCCCTGGGGGAAGGGCGGAGGCAGGGGCTCAGGGGGAGGAGCAGGGGGAAGGGGCGGAGGGGGAGGTGTTGGGGGGGGAAGGGGGTTTGGGGGAGGGGCGGGGGGGAGGGGATGGGGAGGGGGAGGGGGAGGGGGAGGCGGCTTCTGGGAGCCTGTGAATAGACAGCCGTGGGTGCTGGTGGCGGGGTTTGTGGCATCGCTGGAAGAGGCAGGGAATTTCAGAGTCAAAAAGGTGAGCGAGGCGCTTGGTTTGGCTGCATGGGTGGCGTTTCCAGGGTGCACTGTGCCTGCCTGTCACCTGAGAGAAGGTAGCCGTGGGTGCTGGTGGCGGGGTTTGTGGCATCGCTGGAAGATGCCGGGAACTTCCGGGTGAAGAAGGTGTGGGGACGCATGGCTGTGTGTGTGTCTGTATGGTTGCACGGGTTGCATTTCACACAGCACAGCACAGCACTTCCGAGTCAAGAAGGTGAGCGAGCCCGTGGGTTGGCTTGGCTTGGCTTGGCTTGGCTTGGCTTGGCTTGGCTTGGCTTGGCTTGGCTTGGCTTGGCTTGGCTTGGCTTGGCTTGGCTGCATGGGTTGCATTTCCATACTGCCTTTGTGCCTGCCAGTCAGCAGCCTGTGGGCAGGCAGCCATGCACAGCTGCTACAGCAGCAACTGAACAGAGCGTGGCAGCAGCAGAGGGAGGAGAGCGAGGCACATGCACTGATGTTTCTTCTCCCACACATTGCTTTGACTTTTGAGTCGACTCAAAAGTCACAGAGTGTTGCAGCAGCAGAGGAGGAGAGGGAGGCACATGCACTGATGTTGAGGCGACTCAATAAACGCCTCACATGCACTGATGTTGAGGCGACTCAATGAACGCCTCACGTGCATTGATGTTTTTTCTCCCACTCATTCCTTTCTTTCTCCCTTCCCTCTGCCTCCCGTTTCCCCTCCCATTCATACACAGTTGCTACAGCAGCACAGAGCGTTGCAGCAGCAGAGGGAGGGGAGAGAGAGGCACGTGCACTGTTGGCTCAATCTCTCACTCGTTCTTTTCTTTCTCCCTCCCTTCCTGCTTCCTCCGGTTTCCTTTCCCCTCCCATTCATACACAGTTGCTACAGCAGCACAGAGCGTTGCAGCAGCAGAGGGAGGAGAGGGAAGCAAAGAGATCGTTTGCAGAAGATGGGATGAGGGAGGGCAACAAAAAGATCATGGTGAGATGAGATGAGATACAGAGCGGTTGAAATGTCATGGTGCGGTCATCATGCTTACTTGCAGGCACAGCAAGAGAGGGAAGCAAGGAGGCCGTTTGCAGATGATGGGACGAAGGAGAGCAACAAGAAGATCATGGTGAGATGAGATGAGATATGGAGCGGTTGAAATGGCATGGTGCGGTCATCATGCTTCCTTGCAGGCACAGCAAGAGAGAGAAGCAAGGAGGCCGTTTGCAGAGGATGGGATGAGGGAGAGCAGCAAGAAGATCATGGTGAGTTGATCGTTTGGACGGTTTGATCTCAAGTTTAAGAGTAAGGAGAAGACAGGACATGGTTTGAGAAGGAGGGAAAGAGGTTGTGATGAAGGCGAGCAATAAGAAGATTTTGCCGAGTTGATTCCACTCCTCTGCCTTGGTTCCAGAGCGAGTATATTTTTTTTTAGAATTCTCAAATAACACACTCTCCATTTCTTGGTTCAAGAGCAAGTAGATTTGGATGTGAGTATACTACATCCCTACCCATGTTGTGTTCCCATTTTGCTATCTTATGTCCCATCCCACCATTGCAATCCTGCCCTGTCCCTCTATCCCCTCTAGTGGCTGCTTCGCTGCACGCGCGCCCACTGCCGCTACAAGAAGGCGTTCACATTCCCATCATTCATGGAGGTAAGTTGTTGTTTATTCAGCTTGGTTTGTCCTTTCAAATGTGTATGTTAATCCTTGTAATCGGCTTAAGACTTTCAGTGTAACCAGGCAGTGAATCTTTATGTGAAGCTCTTCATACAAAAAAAAGGATATTTTGTACTATATCAACCTTAGGCGCAACCTTGTCGGTACTGGAAGGATCTGCACTTGTTCATATCTCTATTATTGTTTGGGCGCCTATAAATTTGTGGGATAAAAGACCACTTTTGAGGCGCTCAAAAGGCATCCTGTTATTCGCCCTAGATTCACTTGTTCATGTGTCTATTATCACTCTTTTACACCCCGCGTTTTTGCTGCTCCTTCTGTGATTACCCTTCCGCCCCCCAGGGTTGGGTCTGCACTGATCAAAATGCAGAGAGCAAGGTGGAGAAGGAAGAGGGTGAGAAGGCAGATAGAGGGAAGGAAGCAGAGGGAGGGAAGAAGGAGAAGGGGAAGGAGAAGGAGAAGGAGAAGGGGAAGGAGAAGGAGAAGGGTAAGGAGAAGGGGAAGGAGAAGGAGAAGGGGAAGGAGAAGGCGGGTAGGGAGAAGCTGAGGCTGGTGGGGATGGACTGTGAGATGTGTGAGACGTGGGACGATGAGGAACCCATGGAGCTGACGAGGGTCTCTGTGGTGGACGACAAGGGCAAGGTGAGATGCGGTGCAGTGCGGTGAAGCGCAGTGCAGTGAGGTGCATGCGGTGCAGTGCGGTGGCGTGTTGTGTGCATTGGTGATGGAGGGGAAAGCTGAGGCTGGTGGGGATGGACTGTGAGATGTGTGAGAAGTGGGATGATGAATGAAGAACCCATGGAGCTGACACGGGTCTCTGTGGTGGACGACAAGGGCAAGGTGAGATGCGGTGCAGCGCGGTGAAGTGCGGTGCATTGGTGAGCTGTGAGTGGCAAGGCTGGTTGGTGGTGGGGATGGATGTGTGAGACGTGGGACGATGAAGAACCCATGGAGCTGACACGGGTCTCTGTGGTGGACGACAAGGGCAAGGTGAGACGCGGTGCAGTGCGATGAAGTGCGGTACTATGCGGTGCTGTGTGGTGAGGTGTGATGCGAACAGCAAGGCTGGTTGGTGGAAATGGACTGTGATGTAAGAGACGTGGGACAAAGAAGACCCCATGAAGCTGACACGCGTCTCTGTGGTGGACGACGACAAGGGCAAGGTGAGACGTGGTGGAGTGCGGTGGAGTGCGGTGAAGTGCGGTGCAATGTGGTTGGGTGAGATGGGCAAGGTGAGATGCGGTGCAGTGCAGTGTAGTATGGTACTGTGTGGTGATGTGCAGTGCAAATGGTAAGATGCGAATGGCAAGTGAGGCTGTTGTTGGTGATGGAGTGTAATTTTTTTTTGGCTGATCGGTTGGTGAAGCCACAAGAGGGGGGTGAAGTAGTATGTGAGTGATGTTACTTTTGAGATTTCAATAGAGCACCAAGTAGGTGCCATGGTTTCAATACGTGGCAGCAACTCTTTTGGATTGACTGAAGTGGTATGTGACTGATGTTTCTTTTGAGAATTCACAAAAGTAACATCAACGAATGTGACTGAGATCACCGGGTTGAAGGAGGCGGGTTTCAGGACGGCAGTTCAATTTCTTGTTCAACACTCTTTTCTTCCTCTTCCTCTTCCCCTTCTCCTTCTTCCTTCCTCGTCCCTTACAGGTGCTGTTGGATCGGCTGGTGAAGCCACAGAGGGAAGTGAAGTCGTATGTGACTGAGATCACCGGGCTAAAGGAGGAGGATTTCAAGACGGTCCAATACACGTGGGAGGACGCACAGGTGCGTTGTGCGTGTCTACACATGCTTGGCGTGAGTGTGCATGGTTGCCACACACACAAGGTGACTCGTGAGCCAATTCAAGAGTCACTGGATGAGATCACCAGGTTGAAGGACGAGGATTTCAAGAAGGTCCAATACACGTGAGAGGACGCACAGGTGCGTTCTGTGTGTGTGTGATAAGTGCTTGTCGATTCACAAGTCACTTTGGAGATCACAGGGCTGAAGGAGGAGGATTTCACAAAGGTCCAATACACGTGGGAGGACGCACAGGTGCGTTCTGTGTGACATGACATGACATGTGCTAGTCGTGAGTTTGTGTGGTTACCACTGCACACGAAGTGACTCGTGGGTTGATTCACAAGTCACTTGAGAAATCACTGGGTTGAAGGGAGAGGATTTGAGAAGGTCGCATACACGTGGGTGGGAGGATACACAGGTGCGATGTGTATTTTGAGACTTCTAAAAAAAAAAAAAGGGATCTGAGAAGGTCACATACACGTGGGTGGGAGGATGCACAGGTGCGATGTGTGTGTGACGTGCTAAGGGGGAGTGTGTGTGGTTGCTGTACACATAAGGTGACTTGTGAGCTGATTCACAAGTCACTAGAGAGATCACAGGGTTAAAGGGGGAGGATTTGAGAAGGTCGCATACTCGTGGGTGAGAGGATACACAGGTTTGTATGTGTGGAGGGATGAGGAGGAAAGGGGGAGAGGAGAAGTGGAGGGGGGTGGAGGGGGAGGGACGGGTGATTTTTTCAAGATTCTCTACTATTGCTGGTTGGGCAGCATGTGACTGGTGACATACATGGTGTGTGATAAGTCGAGTTTTGAGTCGACTCAAAACAAGATTCTAGACTATTGCTGGTTGGGCAACATGTGACATACATGGTGATGAGCACATGTCTAAAGTATTGCTAATCGCCTCCAAGTTTTCACTTCCTTCACTTGTTGTCTTTCCTGCCCTCCCGCCACTCCCCCTCTTTTCCTCCTACTCTGTCTGACGTGGCATGCCAGCGTGACGTGGCGGCACTGCTGACACCCAACACAGTGCTGGTGGGGCACCACGTGTCTGGTGACATGGATGGTGAGCCTGCTGACGTGGACGAACACATGCTGCATGGCATGTGTCAAGCTGCACGGCACTCTTCATGGCCTCACCTTTCGCGTGTGATGAGACGAGTTTCGAGTCAAACTCGTCTCATCACTCGTCTCATCACACGTGGATGTGTCAAGCTGCACGGCACTCTTCATGCCCTCACCTTTCCTTCCCATTTCTGACATCTCGGTTGTGGACGAGGATTGATGGCTTTTGAGTGTTTGCAGTCTCTATTGGTGCAGCTTTTGAGTCGACTATATTGGTGCGACTTTTGAGAATTCTCAAAGGTTGTGGACGAGGATTGATGTGATGGCTTTTTGAGTCGACTCAAAAGTCATCTCGGTTGTGAACGAGTATCAATCATTTTCTATTTGCCGTGTTTTGAGTCGTCGACTCAAAACACGGCTCCATCCCATTTCTGACATCTCGGTTGTGAAAAAGTATCAACTATCTGCTATTTGCCACGTGCGATAGTTTGCCCTTCTGTCTGTGGCTGCTGTTTTTCTTACCATGCCTCACCACTTTCCGTCTTGACCTCACCTGAGAGGCTGAGCCTTTGTGTGTCTCTTGTGCCACATGCATGCATGCACATGTTGACACATATCGAAATCATCTGAGGCTGAGGCTGAGGCTGAGGCTGAGAATTCTCAAAAGTGATTTCACCTGAGGCTGAGCCTTTGTGTGTCTCTTGTGCCACATGCATGCATGCACATGTTGACACATATACATGGTGCATCCATGCAACCATCCCATGTCATGCCATCCCATGCAGTGCTCAAGATAGACCGTCCATTGGCCATCGACACATCGCTGCTCTTCCGCTATGCCTCAACCCTGAGGCGCCTCAAAGCCTTGCCGTACCATCTCATCCCATGCCATCCCGTCCCCATCCCATGCTATGCCATCCCATGCAGTGCTCAAGATAGACCATCCATTGGTCATCGACACATCGCTGCTCTTCCGCTACTCATCAAAGGACTCCAATATGTCTACCGTTCAGCTACCCCTGGCTCTCGTTGCTCTGGTGAGTACACCTCACTCACTGCATGGCATTGCACTGGCACAGCATGGCCTTGGGTTGCTCATCGACACATCGCTGCTCTTCCGCTACTCTTCAATGGATGCCAACATGTCTACCGTTCAGCTACCCCTGGCTCTCGTTGCTCTGGTGAGTCGTGCGTGCATAACATTGCATTGGCACTGCATGGGATTGGGTAGTCAGTTCCTCCCCCAGCCGTCTCTCTTCCGCTACTCTTCAATGGATTCCAACATGTCTACCGTTCAGCTACCCCTGGCTCTCGTTGCTCTGGTGCGTCAATCACTGCACTGCATGCCATTCAACCCCAACTCGAGTGCAACCCATCTCTCTTCCGCTGTCCATCCATGGATTCCAACATGTCTACTGTTCAGCTAACCCTGGGTTTCAAGATGTGGCAGGCAGGGCAACACATCCCAGCACGGCAGTGTGGAGGGCTCGTTTAAGTGCCTCAACAACATACCAACCTTCTCTCTCCCCTTCGTCCCACCCTTCCTCCCCCGTTCCCCCCTCATGCATTGCAGCGTGATATAGGCTACAAGATGCGGCAGGGCAGCACGTCGCATCACGACAGTGTGGAAGACTCGTTGATCCCCGTCTGACTGCCTTGACTTTCTCCTCTACTCCCCTTTCCCCCTCATGCATTGCAGCGTGATATGCGCTACAAGATGCGGCAGGGCGACACGTCCCACCACGACAGTGTGGAGGACTCACTCATTCCCGTCCGTCTGCCTGATAAGTTGACACAGATACATCATACACTTACCTGTCCCTCCCCCCCCCCCCCCGCGCCCTACCCCCTTGCAGCGTGACATGGGCTACAAGATGCGGCAGGGAGACACATCGCACCACGACAGTGTGGAGACTCACTTATTCCTGTCCAACTGCCTCTTGAGTCTGTCTGCACCAAAGCGCCCATATCCTGGCCTTCCAACCGTACCACCCTTGCAGCGTGACATGGGCTACAAGATGCGGCAGGGCAGCACATCGCATCGCACCACGACAGTGTGGAAGACTCGTTGATCCCCGTCCAAGTGCCTCTTGAGTTCCTGCTCCATTCCCACACCCTCTCCTCCCTGCTCCCCCCTTGCAGCGCGATATGGGTTACAAGATGCGGCAGGGCGACACGTCCCACCACGACAGTGTGGAAGACTCACTGGTTCCCGTCCGGCTGGTTCAGAAGGCTGCCGGCCTCAACATAATACCAACCTTCTCTCTTCCCCTCCTCAACCCCTCCCCTCCCTTTCCTTGCAGCGTGACATGGGTTACAAGATGCGGCAGGGCGACACATCGCACCACGACAGTGTGGAGGACTCAATGGTTCCCGTCCGACTGGTTCAGAAGGCTGTTGCCTCTGACGCTCTCCTCCCCACGCCCATCCAGCCGCTCTCTGCCACTGTAAGTCCAATCACCAAAGCCTATTGAACCCATCACATCAGAGCCTGTCAAACCCATCCACACCTGTCAAACCCATCCACGCCTATCAAACCCATCCACGCCTATCAAACCCATCCACGCCTATCAAACCCATCCACCCCTGTCAAACCCACCACAGCCTATCAAACCCATCCACGCCTGTCAAACCCACCACAGCCTATCAAACCCATCCACGCCTGTCAAACCCACCACAGCCTATCAAACCCATCCACGCCTGTCAAACCCATCCACGCCTATCAAACCCATCCACGCCTATCAAACCCACCACAGCCTATCAAACCCATCCACGCCTGTCAAACCCACCACAGCCTATCAAACCCATCCACGCCTGTCAAACCCATCCACGCCTGTCAAACCCACCACAGCCTATCCAACCCATCCACGCCTGTCAAACCCACCACAGCCTATCAAACCCATCCACGCCTGTCAAACCCACCACAGCCTATCAAACCCATCCACGCCTGTCAAACCCATACACGCCTGTCAAACCCATCCACGCCTGTCAAACCCACCACAGCCTATCCAACCCACCCATCGGTGCCTATCGAACGTATCAGCCATCCAGCCGCACTCTGATTCCCGTCCAGCTGGTTCAGAAGGCCATGAGCACTCCTGCACTCCCCCCCCCCCACGCCCATCCAACTGCTCCCTGCCATTGTAAGTGCCAATCAATGTTGAGGCGCCTCAAAACTCAAAACTCCCCCCCACGCCCATCCAACTGCTCTCTGCCATTGTTGTAAGTGCTAATCACTCATGCCGATCAAAACCTATCAGTGTGGACGACTTTCTAATCCCCGTCCGACTGGTTCAGAAGGCCATGAGGCTGAGCACTCATGAACTCCTCCCCACGCCCATCCAGCCACCCTCTGCCACTTTTAAGTGCCGCCAAGCCTTAGACCTTATCAATTAGCCTTGATCGGTCGGTTGTGATACAAAGTCGGTTTGCGAGAAACTCTCAAAACCCAACTAGCACAAAACCCATCAATCAGACCCCGATCAGTGCCTGTTCGTACTAAGCCCGAGACAGGCCCTCATCAATCTCTATCCTCCCTCTCCCTATCAGGTTGGCAAATATCTGATGCGGGAGCTGACCATTGCCACTCCACTCCATCTCACCGTCTCTCACCCCTTCTCACCCATTCCCACCCATTCTCACTCCCTCTCAATCCTCTCTCTACTCTCCCTCTCCCTGTCAGGTTGGCAACTATCTGATGCGGGAACTGACCATTGACAGCCTGCCACGTGGCACTACTCCAGAGATGATCCTTGCCTTGCTGGCGCATTACGAGAGGAGGAGGATGGAAGCGAAGAGGAGGGAAGAGGAGGAGAAGGGGGAAAAGGAAGGGCAGGAGGGGGCGGAGGAGGGGGGAAAGGGAAAGAAGGGAAAGAAGGGGAAGAAGGTTAAGAAGGGGAAAAAGGGGGAGCAGGAGGTGGAGGAGAAAGGGGAAGAAGGGGAGAAGGAGAAGGAGGAGGAAGAGGAGGAGGAGGAGGAGGAGGAGGATGAGACAAGAGTATGGGTTCCGGGGCAGCAGAAGGATGAGGATGACATGATGCCATGGGTGACGGTAGGTTGTGATGATGGATTGATGGGATAAAATGTAGTGGCATGTTGTGGGGGCATGGGGGCATGAGATATGCTAATCTGGGTTCCGGGGCAGCAGAAGGATGAAGACGACATGATGCCATGGGTGACAGTAGGTACTAGGTGGTGTAGATGGTTTGGGATGATACGATGGATGGGACGAAGGGATTCTGTAGTGGCATGCATGCATGTATGTGTATGTGTTTTCCATGAGGCACCAAAGGAGGAGGGCTTTGAGAAGGTCAATGCACATGAGTGTCAAACTTACACGTGCGCTTTTCGTGAGTGTGTATGGTTAATGCACGCACCAACAAGCATAAACCCTCCCCTCCCACTCCTCTCCCCATCACCCCTACTTCCTCCTCTCCACCAGAAACCTCGACTCAGTGGCATAGCCGCCGATACTAGCACTGCCCGCCGCTGTTAGCTCGCGTGCACTACCCCTTCCCCTCCTCAGCTCTCACCCCTCCATGTCTTTTCCTCTCCCCCACCCACTCCTCTCCCCTGCTCCCCAGAAACCTCGACCAAGCGGCAGGGGTGATGGCTGCTTCGCTCGAGTGCACTACCCCTTCCCTTCGTCCGCTCTCGCGCTCTTCCACTCCCTTCCAGGAGAGATTGAAGCGGTAAGATCGAAGCTGGATGTAATATACACGTTCCCCATACTCTTCCACTCTTTGCTATAGAAAATCAAGCGGTAATCTCCTTTGCTCTCACACTGTTCCACTCTTTGCTAGAAAATAATCGAAGCGGTAAGCAAGAAGCTCACTTGTGCCTGTGCTGTTATTAGTAAACAGGTGGGCTGCGGAGGTCTGATGTCCATCAACTTGAGTGTTATTGAGTTTGTCTCGCCGTCTCAATAACACTCAAGTTGATGGACATCAGACCTCCGCAGCCCACCTGTTTACTAATAAAATAATCGAAGCGGTAAGCAATGAGCTCACTTGTGCCTGTGCCATTTCCCATCCCTCCCTTCCTTTTACAGGACCCCTGGGGCCGGTGGAAGTTGAAAATTCCAGTACCAGAGCACCTGCAGAAACCCATCTATCATATCGATTACCCCAGAGGCACAGGCGGTAACAGCAGTAATGCATCCCCTCCCCCCAAACCTGCCTTCCGCCTCCCCCATCCCTACCCCCATCCCTCCCCACATCCCTCCCCTCATTCCCAGGACCCCTGGGGGCGGTGGAAGAAGAAAATTCCTGTACCAGAGCACCTGCAGAAGCACATCTATTATATCGATTACCCCAGGGGCGCAGGCGGTAACAGCATTAACCCTGTTTACCGGCCTGCAACAGAAGTGGTGGTGGCGTGTGGCGGCGATGGTAACCGCATGATCCACGGGGTTGGGGCGAAGATGCTTAGAGCCATGGGGGATCAACTGACGCTTGTGTGTGAGGATGCTGATGATGTATGGGATGTGTTAGTAGGGAGGGAAGAGAAGGATGGGGAGGAGGAGGAGGAGGAGGAGGAGGAGGAGGAGGAGGAGGAGGAGGAGGAGGAGGAGGAGGAGGAGGAGGAGGAGGAGGAGGAGGAGGAGGAGGAGGAGGAGGAGGTGAGGCAGCTGGAGGCAGGGCAGGAGGAGAAGCTGTTGGAGCAGACGCGGGTGAGAGATGAGATCATGGCGAAGGCGAGAGCGGACATGAAGGCCAAGTGGAAGCAGATGCTTGCTATGGATGAGACCGACGAGCGCTTAGTTGAGAGTCTTTTAAGAAGTAGTTATTATGATGCGGTGGCTGCAGTGGAGAGGGCAAGAGGGGAGGGTGGGGGAGGGAAGGAAGGGGAGGGGGAGGTGGAGGTGGAGGTGGAGGTTGGAGAGGAGGGGATGGAGCGAGCGATTAGAGAGCTGATCTTGCGGCTGCAGAGGAAACAGGAGCTGCTGCAACAGCAGCAGCAGCAGCATCAGGAGCAGCAGGGAAAGTTGGCTCAAGGGCAGGTTGATGGAAGGATGCGAGAAAATGCTGATTTGGGGGAGATGAGAAGGAGGCTAGCACATAGGGAGATGGAGGTTGAGGTTTTGCAGAGGATGGTTATGTTCCTGGGGCATAGACTGTGGGGAGAGGAGGGGGGGGAGGAGGAGGGAGAGGAGGGAGAAGATGAGATGGAGTGTGAGTTAGAGGAGGATTTTGAGAGAGAGGAGGGAGGAGTGGGGGTGGGGAATGGGTTGGAGATTGAGGGGGTGGGGGAGGAGATGGAGGGGGTGGGGGAGGGGGAGGAGGAGGAGGAGGAGGAGGAGGAGGAGGAGGAGGAGGAGGAGGAGGAGGAGGAGGAGGAGGAGGAGGAGGAAGAGGAGGAGGAAGAGGAGGAAGAGGAGGAAGAGGAGGAAGAGGAGGAAGAGGAGGAAGAGGAGGAAGAGGAGGAAGAGGAGGAAGAGGAAGAAGAGGAGGAGGAAGAGGAGGACGAAGAGGAGGAAGAAGAGGGTGAGGAGCAGGAGGAAGGGGAGGAAGAGGAGGAATAACAGGAAGAAGAAAGGAAGGAAAAATAAGGAGGAAGCGGAGTAGGGTGAGCTCAAGGACTTGCAGAAAAGGAGAAAACAGATATCCAGTCAGCGTGGAGGGAAAATGGGTTGCGACTCAATGTGCAAGGGCTAGCTAAAGTTGAATGAGCAAGTGAGGATGCAACAGAGTGAAAAGCAGTAAGACACAGTGTTTCTGGCGTCTCTAATTCAGGGGTAGCCGTATTCATAATCTACTCTGAACTAATGCATTTTGATCGTGGCCGATCGTGGGTCATAATTGTAGCTGATTGTGGTGGATGACATGCACGAGGTGCACACCTTGCTGCTACATGTTCAGGTTTGAGGTGGCCCAGTATTTCCTTTTGAAAGAGTTGGGAAGAAGAGGGGAGGGAAGCGAGGGAGGGAGGGGGATGGAAGAGAGCGGAGCTGAGGGGAGTAGCTCAATCCAATTCAGTAGACAAAAAGGGCTTAAAATCAGGCAATTTCTGAAAACTGAACATATTGGAAGACGCATTCAGTTCAAGGGCACGATTCGCATTTTGCCTAGCCGTACTTTATGAGCAGTCACGTGAGTACCGTAATCCCCCGGATAAAAGACCCTAGGGTCTACTAAATATTTCAGAAAAAAACGTGGGGGGTCTAAATAAATAGTTCAAAAATTATTAGGCCCGGGTCTTATGATAAGTGCATTGTGTTCTAAAATATTATGAAATGCGGGGGTGTTGTAATGTTGTGCACATTTTTTAAAACGAGGAAACACCACGCGAATGATCGGGGTCTTGAAAACGGCATCAATCAATCTAGCATATGAATGGTGTCTGCTGATTGGCCCATATTTAGTGGTAACCAGCAAGAGTGATTGCTGGCCCACCAACGTGTACCACATCCCCTTCAAGGTGGCAGCCCGCCTCGGTACTGACACCCCATGCATGTGACGTGAGTTGGGGGCAAGAATCTCGAGGAGACTCAACAGATGGGCGCTTCCACAGTCACGACTAGAGCAGGAGCGGCTTTCACTAGGACAGCCGAGTGCACCACTACGTGCCACAGCGGAACTCTGCTCGACAGAGTCTGTAATGGCCGGGCTTAGGGAGGCGAATAAATCGCCATAGTCGAACATCACAATGCAAAGCCGCTCCCCCTAGCAACGACTCGTTATGGTGACCACACCAGATTCAGGGACGTCGCAGGCGCGTCGCCCTCGTGCAACTACCGCTCGTCAGCCTAGCCGTGTTAGGACATCGCCGCGTCCAGTGCAGCCCTCGCCAACTCAGTCCTCTAGCGAGACGTCTACGAGCAGCCGTACCCCACGGGCGCCGCTGCCCACAGTCTGTGTCCCCGTATTTCCGCAGTCCTCGCGACCGCAAGGCAAGAAGAAGAAGGCGCCTGATGCAGCCCCTCCCTCGCCTCGCCACCGTATGACGAAGAAGGCGCGCCACGCATACACAGCTCGGGAAAAATTGTACTGGCTGGGTATGCTTGACACTCAGCCAGATCTCAGCGTCCGCGGTTTGGCCCGTCTCGCGAACGTTACGCCTAAAATGATCCGCGACTAGCGGAGCTTCAAGGAACGCCTCCTCGTCTCCGCTGGGTGTCGTCGTCGCCTCGTCGGCGCCGGCCGTAAGGCCAAGTGGCCGTTCATGGAGCGAGCCGTGTACCGTCAGTTCTTGGCTCACCGTGCCAAAGGACTGGCGGTCTCGGTGAGCATGATACAGAAATGGTCGAAGCAGTACATGAAACACCGTCACCCCGGGGCCGACTGGCGCGCGTCGAACCGCTGGACTTTGCGCTTCCGCGTCCGGTGGTCATTGGCAAAGCGCGTTAAGACCAAAATGGGCCAGAAACTAGCCGACAGTAAGCACCATGCATTGCCTTCCGTGCATCGTGGTCCCCCTTGTCATATTTCTAACCACCGTCTCTTGTGTCGTGTTTCAGATCTCAAGGCTAAGATCGAGTCATTCTGGGAGTTCGTTCGGCAGATGTGCGTGCTCAACTCATACCCCCTGAACCTAATCGTCAACGCCGACCAAACTCCCCTCTTCCTTGAGATGCCGGCGGAACGAACACTGGAGATGAAGGGTGCACGAACGGTGCATGTCCGTACGGCTGGTTACGAAAAAGAGCGCGTCACCGTCATGCTGGCGGTGACGGCTAGCGGGCTGAAGCTTCCTCCCTACGTGATTCTTAAATGCAAGACAATTCCAAAGATCGTCGTCCCCCGAGGTGAGTTTTTTATGGAGCTTGAACAACACGGCTGAATATGTGCAGAACCGAGACTAACTTCCTCTCCCCCATGCGCAGGTGTTGTGATCCTGTCAGAATATGTTGTTTGTGTAGCCTGCAGTGGGGTACTCTATAGTGAGTACAGCCCCTTAGGGTTTGCCATTTGTATCCTGCTGCTTGCTAGTTCAATCATTCCTTCTCAATTCTGTTCCTGCACACAATTCTAGCTCGTACTTGGCTCCTCGTTACTAGTCCTACTGTGGCCTAGGCTACTAAGCCTAGGCCGTACTCCTACTACTTTTCACATGGTATCAGAGCAGGTCGATCCCCTTGGATCGATCCTGTGGGTGGGCTCACCACCTCGTTGCTTCCGCTGCAACTTCCACTGCTACCCTCTGTGCCGCACGCTCCGTGGCGTGCGGCAGTTTTTCTTCCCGCCGTGCGCCCCGAGGCGCGCGGCGGTTTTCTGCCCGCCGTGCGCCCCGTGGCGCGCGGCGGTTCTCTGCCCGCTGTGCGCCCCGAGGCGCGCGGCGGGCTTCTGCCCCGTCACTCGGCGCGTCGCCCTCGGGAGGCGCTGCGACGGGCGCCGGGGACCCGCGCGTCGCCCCCCGTCGCCCGTCGTGGCCTGCGCGCGGCCCGTACAGGCTGCGCGCGGCCCGTAAGGGCTGCGCCAGGCCCGGACGCGGCCCGTACGGGCTGTGCCAGGCCAGCGCGCGGCCCGTACGGGCTGCGCCAGGCCCGCGCGCGGCCCGTACGGGCTGCGCCAGGCCCGCGCGCGGCTCGGGCCGCCTGCGCGCGGTTCGGGCGGCTGTGCCAGGCCCGTGGGCGGCCCTTTCCTCGCTGCCCCTGCCCTCCCCGCTGTCCCCCGTGCTTCTACTGGCGCCCCACCCCTCCTATAGCCCGCTCTCCTGAATTAGGGTTTGGGGGTGAGGGGTATGGGGGTGAAGCCACTGTGTGCCGTTCCCTGCTCCTCCTCTTCCTCCGTCTCCCTGTGCTGCAGCTGCCGCTGAGGGGGGGTGGACTTGTTGGAGCCGTTGGAGTGGTACTAAGGGGGGGTGAAGGGGGAGTGGAGCTAGCGGTGTAGCAGCGGGTGTGTGTCAGGGGGAGTGGGATAGTTTGGGGAGGTTGAAGGGGGTGGCCGCCGTGAAGCCAGCAGCTCCAGTCGCCCGTGGGTCCGTTGCTTCTGCCGCTCGTCGTAGCCGCAGAGCCAGTTACTCCAGTATTCCGGGGCGCTCTGTCTCGGTAGCCACTGTGTCAGCCGCCACTGTGCCAGGCCCGTGGGCGATGACGACTGAAGATGTCCACGGGACGAGGGCGGCCGGCGCAAAGATGTCCTCCTCGTTCTTGACTCGTACAGAGGCCACCTCACCGAGCGGGTCGGCCAGACGATGCGCCTCTTCCGGCTGACCCGTGCAGTGATCCCTGGCGGTTGCACACCGCTTGTGCAACCGCTAGACGTGTCCATCAACCGCGCCTTCAAGGCGGGCGTCCGCCACCGGTACGGCACCTGGTTCGAGGAAGAAGGGATCACCTTCACAACCCCCGCTGGTGAGCCCGTGTAACCGTGTGGCTTGGTTCTGTTTGCACTCTGTCCGTTCACAGAAACACGCATCCGTGCACCCTCCACTCCAAATCCACCCTCTCAACTCCACCCTCTACAGGCAACCTAAAGAAACCGCCGGCCGAACTCGTCCTGAAGTGGATTGACGAGTCGTGGGCCGACGTGCCCGAGGAGATGGTGAGGAAGGCGTTCCTCACCTGTGGCATCTCCAACGCCACGGACGGGAGCGAGGATCATCTGATCCTCGCTCATTTGCGGGATTCGGCCGAGGTGGAGGTGATGGAGGACGTGATGGAGGAGGACCTGGATGAACTGGTTCCCAACCCGTTCTACCCGGCCCCTGTGGTCACTCCGCCGGATGCGACCGTCGAGGCAGAGGAGGAGGCCGTGCTGGCAGCAGAAGCAGCAGAAGCAGACGCGGAGGCTTTACCTCCAAAGTTAGACTCCAGCGAGTCCGACGATGGTCTCGCTGGCAGCCGAGACGAGTGGAGCGACGACGGGGACGAGTGGTGGGCCCCTGGTCGCTATGAGGGGGAAGAGGTGGACGAGTGGGTGGCAGGTGACGAGGAGGACTAGCTAAAGCATGTTGATATCATTGGTAGTTTGGACGAGCAGGGCTAATTGTCTGATGCACTTATGACAGTCCGTAGTTCATGACTCTGCATGCCTCTAATGTGACTGATTGCTAGTTAATTACATTTAAATTGACGTTTTAAGGGCGAGGGGGGGTCTTATAATGTTTTCGGGTCAAATGGGGGGTCTAACTCAAACAGCCTGTAATAAAAGACCCCCCCCCCGTATTAAAGACCCGGGTACACTATTATGGGGGGGTCTTTTATCCCGGGGATTACGGTATTTGTGATTTGCGACTCCATAATTAACATTACATGACAGAACTTGCTGCAGTAGTTTTCTCCATTAAGCTATGATAGCACTCATTGTTGTACCAATTATCAAGAGTGATGCGTAGCGGAATGGTGAGACTAGGAAAGCAAGGCAGTACAAATGTGAAACCCTAACTGAGTTGTACTCACTAAGGAGCACCTCACTACAGCCTATAACAGATAATAACATTTGACACACCCCCATTGGCTACGTGAGGGGCATCAAAGCAAGCAGGGTGAACAAACGGTCACAAGACCAGTCAATACAAGAAGCAAAGCAAGCTCAGGGTGGATCTCAAGAACACCACACAAATTCTGAGCACAAGCAAGCAACCACAACACCAGTTCAAGAGAGCACAATATATATAAAGGCACTGACAAGCAGAACACGCAACAAGAGCAACACTACAACAACCGTGGGCTTACCTCAACAAGCCCTAGCTGCACACAGAACCTGTGGTGGTCACCAGGTGACAAGGCCTTGGTGAAGACGTCAGCAGTGTTGGCCTCTGGGGCCACAAAGTCCAAGCGTGCCTGGCTGCGTCGCTTTAGCTCTCGCAGGAGAAAGTACCTCACGTCAATATGCTTCACTCTGCTCTCCAGTCGAGGCTCTCGACACAGGAGGATCGTAACCTTGTTGTCAGCGTACAAGGTCGGTGCAGAGCGAGGCCGCTCACCAAGGTCGGTGAGAAAGAAAGTCAACCAGCGAAGCTCCTGTGTCGCCATGGCACCAGCGTAGATCTCTGCCTCTGCACAGGACGAAGCCACAGACGAAGACAGTGTAGACCTCCACGATACAGCACCAGCACCCAGACTGAAGCAGTAACCCTGAGTTGAGCGCTGAGTCTCCATGTCGTCAAAGTAGGAAGAGTCGCAGTGACCGGTCAACACAACTGGCTGTGTCCCTCCAAGCATAAGCCCCATGTCTGATGTAGTCGCCAGGTACTTCGCCACCCTCACAGCAGCTGTCCAGTGAACAGGACGGTGTCTCCCAGTCGCAACAAAGCGAGAGAGGACGCTGAGGGGAAAGGCGAGGTCCGGCCGAGTACAAGTCATCAGGTACATGAGGCTGCCCACAAGCTCCGCGTAGGGACCACTAGACTCAAAGGGCTCGTCGGGAAAACGGCCAGTGAGTCGGTGGTCAATGGCAAGAGGAGTGGGATGTTTGGTGGAGAACTGAAACCTGAACCGCCGGAGGACCTGCTACACCATGTGTGACTGAGTCAGTGTGATGGTGCGAGCGGCTCTGTCCCTGGTGATCTGCAGGCCAAGGTAGCGCTGCAATTCACCGAGGTCTGTGCACTTGTGTCTCTTCTGCAGTTCGGATTTCACCTCAGTCAGAGCTGCCCTGTCCGATGTAGCAAAGACCAAGTCGTCGACGTACACTAGTATAAAGAAAGGAGTGGAACCAGTGCGAAGAAACAACGACGGGTCGGCAGAGGAAGGATGAAACACAAGGTCACGAAGCGTGGAGCGAAGAGTGTCGTGCCACTCACAGGGCGACTGGCGGAAACCGTAGACTGGCCGCCTCAGGCTCCACTAGGTCCCAGGTGGGAAGGTGTTAGTGAAGCTAGGAGGACGGCGCAGCCAGATCTCCTCGTGTAGACAGCCTGGAGAAACGCAGTGGAGAAGTCAAGGGAGTGCAGCTCGTAGTCTCGCTGTGCTGCTACGTGCAGTAACACCCGAAGAGTAGTCATCTTCGGGGTCGGGGCGAAGGTCTGGAAGAAGTCAACTCCCTCACGCTGAATGAAATCCCTAGCCACGTAGCGCGCCTTGAACACAGGCGGTGAACCGGGCGGCCGCTTCACCTTGAAGAGCCACATGCTATCGACAGTGTTCGCACTGGGAGGGGGAACTGCGTCGACGTATGTGCCTGTGGATCTCCAAGACGCTAGCTCTGCATCCATGGCCGCTTTCCACTGAGAGGCCCACTCCCCTAACACTACCTTACGGTACGTGCGAGGTGTCGGTATGTCAAGGGCGTCGGGGTCTCCCTCAAGGGAAAGCAGCATGGCGCAGAGAGATGGGGAAACAGCTGCTAAGAACTCCAGCTCAAACGGCATGTTCTCTAGAACGTCACAGCCAAGGACAGACTCACCCCCGACGGACAGAGAACGGGCAGGTGGAGAAGCCGCCACACGCGTGGCGTAGTCAAGGCGGCGAGTGGAAGCAAAGTCAGCGACAGCGGCAGTAAGAGCCGAGACAGACGAAAAAGAGGCACGAGGGTCGGTGACAAGAGAGGCGAGAACACGAGAGACAACAGGGCAAGCAGCACGGTAGTAGTCAGTGATAGGGTGAGAGGAAACGGTGAGAGACGACTCAGGAGGTGAGGGGAGAACAGACGCAGGCGGAGAACGACGAGGACTAGAATGAAACAAGACAGTGTGGAGGCCGGCAAGAGGAGACGAGGGTCGAGCACGCGGAGGACAACGGCTGGTCCAGTCGTGCGGGACAACAGGAGGAGACGACTGTGACTGAGGAGGAGAGAAAACAGCCGGAGCCGAGTTCGGAGGAGGAAACGTAAGATCGTACGCGGTAGGAGACTATGAGTGGACAGGAGGAGAGGAAGGAAGTCCAAGGGCCCGAAGGCCACTCACTGGAGGGAACAACTGCTGCAAAAGTGACGGCTGCTACTGCTGCTACTGCTGCTGCTGCTGCTGCTGCTGCTGCTGCTGCTGGTGGTGGTGCTGGTCCAACCACTGCAACTTCTGCCTCTCCCGCGCCAACTGCTCCTGCTCCTCGCGCTCAAGCCGACGAAGGGCCTGGAAACGGGTGTGGTGGCGGTGGGGAGGCGCAGTGGGCGACGCAGTAGGCGAGCCTCCAGCTCTTGTCTCCTCAGTTGCAGCTCCTACAGCGCCAGTACCTCCTGCTCCAGCACCCCCGGAACTAGCAACGCCAGTGTCAGCACCTCCAGCTCCAGCACCCCCAGAACTAGTACCTCCAGTACCAATATCTCCAGCACCAGCACCCCCAGAACTAGCACCTCCTGTGCCAGCACCTCCAGCTCCAGCACCCCCAGAGCTAGTGCCACCTGCTCCAGCACCTCCAGCTTCAGCACCCCTCGAACGAGCATCCCCAGACCGAGTACCGCCAGTGGCTGCACCTCCAGCTCCAACACCAACCGAGTCCACAGTAACCTGTCGCGGAAGTGCCGAAGGCTGCTGAGAAGACTGTGAGGAGGAATGCGGGGAGGGAGACGCTACCTGACGCGCGACCGAGGGTAGAGGGGTAGCGTGAGACACACCTGACGGGGCAGGACCAGAGGGGGGTGGGGGTACCGGAGGAGCGGAAGCAGGGGGGAGAGAGGGTGCGAGGAAGAGGGGGGGAGGGGGAACCGGGAGACCTCGACAGGGGTACCGGGTGTAGTAGGGCTTGTTAAGTAGCGGGTCAGTGTATCCATAACCCAACAGGCCAGCGATCCTCTAACCCTTCCCTATGATCAATCGGGCATCCCCAGTGTTGGTTTTCAGACACCCCCTCTGCACAGGGATGCCCTAGGACACAATACAACGTCACCGCCAGCATGTGCACACATGGGGATTCGAACCCGAGATCTTCGCCCTGATACCATCTCAAGAGTGATGCGTAGCGGAATGGTGAGACTAGGAAAGCAAGGCAGTACAAATGTGAAACCTTAACTGAGTTGTACTCACCAAGGAGCACCTCACCACAACTTATAACAGATAATGACATTTGACACAAATGTCTACGCATTGACATGTTGGCTTTCGAAAACCATATGCATAGAGAACTGATTTTTTTAGTTCTCCCATATTTCATTATGTACCACACTGAGTTGCCATCTAGCTGGGCAGGATATAGCAATACACAGCTTCTCCTTTTTTTCTTTTTTTTTTTGCCAAACCATACAACATTGCTTGTTATTTAAAATGACCACGCCAATATACTGCAGATGGAATGGGCCCGGACCTGTACAATATGCTACAGTTCGTGCAAAATCCTTGTTTCAGTTCGGGTGCGTGCGGGGTGGAGCTGGCTGGATGGTGGTGAGTGGTGGTTCCAAATGTGGTCAAGGACTGTCCAGGCTGGTGAAGAGTTCCATCCTTGTGACACCTCTCGGGGAACTGCTGCTTGTGTCGTTCGTACGGAACACTGGGACGGTTACACTAGCTTCCTTCTCAAAGCCTACCATACACGATCGTTTTGATATGTAAATTAGCCGCTTATAAACGCATATTACCGTATTACCGAGAACTGTTGTTTGACATCCCCTCGTCATCTCCACGAGCCACAGCTCCAGCCAGCTGATTTATCACCTCTCAAACCACTCTACCGCTTGTAGTAGTGAGTCGTGACGTGAAGAGCGTGCGTCCTGTCAGTGAAATAAGAGTGACCTCAGACCCACAGTCAGCAACCAGCAGGCTGTGGGGTTAGGAAGTGCTGCCATCAATAGCCATGACAGCCTAGGTTGCCGGACTTACCGTCCCAAAGATCGACCTTCGCGTCGCTCCCGCCTTCCTGCACACCCGTTAGTGTTGAGTTCGTTATTGTTGGCTCGTTCGTTAGTGTCGGCACGTTCGTTGGTGTTGGCATGTTACCTTGGTGCTCTTGTTTGCCGCCTAGTAGTGACCCGAAGTAGGAGTTTGTCCTAAAGACGCTACATTGGCTAGTGGCTTGACGCGACATACGCGATCGTATATATTTCGTGGTAGTTCTGTTTCTGTTTTTAGCGCCTCCAATATCATACCCGATCGTATTTATTTCGTAGGCATTTTGTTTTGTTTATTTCTCCGATATTCTTTCTCCTAGACCTCGAGGTTTGCTGCGCTATTCCAGTTGGTAGATATCCACCAATGCCCTTCTCTACGTTTGACCGAGTGCGACAATCGACAATGCCGCGTTATTGAGCTTCGCGGTATTAGCCTCCTAACCCTAGCCAGCGACTTATGGGGTGTATACAGTCCAAACCGGCTGTCAAGGACCCGTTACCAGACCGAGTCAGCGAAGATGAAAGTGGATTGACGAAAATTGACGAAACATTGCAATCGCAAGCCAAGGTAGCGTCGGGTCGCAGCGTTGACGATGCGACAGCTGGGAAATCGGCTTCGGGTCGCCTGCCGTCGCTTTTCAGTAAAAGCCGTCGCAGGGATGACCAGGGCGACAGCACGGACAACGGCGACGACAAAGGCGTGGAGTCGTCGCCGCGGGAAGCGACGGGCATCCACTGTTTGCCAACGGGGGGCGTCCGCGGATTCAAGGTACTATTGTCGAGATATTATGGAGTAGAGTAGTACTAGTAGCGTAGGTCGTACGAGAAATTATGGAGTCAGAGTTGTACTATTAGCGTAGGAGTAACTACCCTTTTTTTTCTTCTTCTTTTTTGGCACTTCAGCTGTTGCTACTCGCAATCTCACAGCGATTTTGTACTGACATCAAGACATTGAGGACCCCTCCCGCCCACCCCGCCTCCCCAGTCCCTCCCTCTCCCCCCTTGTCCTTTCCCCCGTTTTCTCCCCATCCTCCCCCTGCCCTCCCCCCCCTCCTCCCCTCTTCCCAACCCCCCAACCCCCACCCCGCCTCCTGTATTCGTTTTCCTCTCCGGTTCTGCTGCTGCGGGGTCAGACAGTTAAGCTGTTGTCACACCGACACACGGCTGTCGCCTTTCCACCAATGTCACTTCTAGTTTCACTGTGGCCCCTGTTTGCCTAATTCAATGCGTCAGTGACTCCGTTCCCTCTGTGTCTGTCTGTATGTTGCCCTTCTGTCCGCTGTCCCCTTTCAAACAGTCCTCTCAACTCAATCCTCGGCTTCACCAGCAGGCGCTAGTTTTCTGACGTCTCCAAACGCCGTTATTTATTCTCTGATGCCCCCGCCATCCTCTCCTCTCCTCTCCTCTCCTCTCCTCCGTTGCCCTTTTCCCCCCAAACAGTCCTCACAATCCTCAGCCTCACCAGCAGGCGCTGCTGCTGCACCAACTGCGTCACCCACTCGAGGGTGAGTCACCAAACTTACACACTGGGAGTCGCTTTTAAGTTTTCTCAAAAGCTTCACCAGCAGGTGCTGCTGCTGCACCAACTGCGTCACCCACGCGAGGGTGAGTCACTAAACTTACACACTGCGCGTATCTTCATTCATTCATGCGACCAGGCACAGCCGGCCTCTTGTGAAGAGCCGCAAAAGCTGTTTGAACCGCACTGCACCGCATGATCCTGAGTCGCCAAACCTGCATTTATCCTTCATTCTTCATTTATCCTGAGACCACGATCTTAGTCTCTAAAATGCATGCACTTTGGTGTTTTGAATCGGAGCCAGTTTGCCCTTTGAATAAACCTAAGCCCAGGAACGGGGCCCAAAGCTCAACGCTACAGATGCCTTTTGAGGCGCCTCAAACAAAAGTCGTATCTTGAGGCGCCTCAAACAAAGTCGCTTCTTGAGTCGCCTCAAACAAAGTCGCTTCTTGAGTCGCCTCAAACAAAGTCGTTTCTTGAGGCGCCTCAAACAAAAGTCGTTTCTTGAGGCGCTTCAAACAAAAGTCATTTCTTGAGGCGCCTCAAAAGTCGGATGCCTTATGAGGCGCCTCAAAAATGCATGCACGTTGGTGTTGTGAATTGGATCCACTTTGCCCTTTGATTAAGCCTTAGCCCCGGAACGGGGTCTATTTGTGAGGCGCCTAAAAAATAGACTTTGGTGTTGTGAATTGGATCGAGTTTGCCCTTTGATTAAGCCCTAGCCCCGGAACTGGGCCCAAAGATTAACGCTACACAGATGCCAAAACGCTCTCTGCTGTCTTGTCTCCTCCACCCCTCTCTTTTTCCCATTCTGTTCTTTTGGCATGTCCTTGCCTGTGCTTTCGACTTGCAGGGAAGCGCCTGCAGCAGAGGAGGCGACCACCCCTGTTGGCCCCAAGCTCATCCGCTCCAAGGGCAAGTGAGTGGCAGAGGTTCAGTCCGTGCAGGTCCGTGCAGGTCCGTGCAGGTCCGTGCAGGTCCGTGCAGGTCCGTGCAGGTCCGTGCAAGTTCCATAAGTAGCATGCTTCTGAAGCACCTCACCCCGTTGCCCCCCCCCCCACCCTCGTTCTAAGACATTCATTCACGCGAAGGAAAATGAGTACCAAGTGTTCAATCTCATTCTCCTCCCCCTCCTCCCCTCTCTCCCCCCCCTTCCCCTTCCCCCCTCGGCTTCCCTTCCCCGTTTCCCCTCCTTCGTCTCAGAATTGAGATCATGGGGTTTGAAGTGGCAAACGTGATAGTGAGGGCAATCAACCTGCGCCAGTCGCTGCTAGAGCGGGATATAGAGGACCTTCGGGCGGAGGTGCTGGCATCGGAGGGCATAAGGATGCTGGTCTCGGATGATTTCTACCACGTGTGGTGCATTGCTGCGGAGGACAAGCGGTGAGGACAGGCTGGGACAGGTGATGATAGGGCTGGTGTGGTGAGTATGGGAGCGGGATATAGAGGACTTGCGGGCGGAGGTGCTGGCGTGGGAGGGCATAAGGATGCTGGTCTCAGACGACTTCTACCACGTGTGGTGCATCGCTGCCGAGGACAAGCGGTGCGTGGGAGAGGGTGGGACAGGTGGTAGGGCCGGGCCGGATGGTAGGGCCGGTCGGTGCGTGGCACACGGGTGGTTTGGCTGGGATGGGTGGTAGGGCCGGTGAGTGCGGGAGCGGGATATAGAGGACCTGCGGGCGGAGGTGCTGGCATCGGAGGGCATAAGGATGCTGGTGTCAGACGACTTGTACCACGTCTGGTGCATTGCTGCCGAGGACAAGCGGTGCGTGGGACACAGGTGGTGGGTCTGGGACGGGTGGTAGGGCTAGGATGGGTGGGGCTGGGACGGGTGGTAGGGCCGGTGAGTGTGGGAGAGGGACATAGAGGGTCTGAGGGCGGAGGTGGTGGCGTGGGAGGGCATAAGGATGCTGGTGCATTGCTGCCGAGGACAAGCGGTGCGTGCGTGGGAGAGAAAGACCAGGTTTGTGGGCAGGTGGATGGCATTATTAGAGATCATGAGATCATCAGGGACCGGTGGTGCTGCTGACTTCGCACAGCACAGCACAACACATGAAGACTGATTGCTGTACTGTACATGAAGGTTTTGAAAAGCCTAGATCTGTTATGACGAGCTTCAGGGATTCGGAACTGGCTGGCGTCCTTGCTTTTTCTCCTCTTCACTTTGTCTGTCCTCTTTCCTGTTCCTCACTCTTCTCCCTTCCCCCTCCCCTCCCCACTGTCTTTTCTCACGCACACAGGGGCGAGTTGAGAGCAGTGGCGAGGGATGTGGCACGGCTGGGCAAGCAATGTCTTGACTTGACCCGTCTTTCTTCCTCCCTCCACCATCTTTCCTCTGTTCCTCACACTTCTCCCTCCGTCATCTCATGCACTGTACACAGGGGCGAGTTGAGAGCAGTGGCGAGGGATGTGGCACGGCTGGGCAAGCAATGTCTTGACCCGGCATTGCATTCGCTCACACAGGCCTTTGACGCGTGAGTGGGCTGTTATGCGCATCTGTCACTTGAGCGATGGGGGCTTGACTAGTGAAGGATGGGGTTTGATGTGTGCGTGAGTGGGGTGTTATGCACATCTGTCACTTGAGCGATGGGGGCTTGACTAGTGAAGGATGGGGTTTGATGTGTGCGTGAGTGGGGCGGTGGCCGTTTGACCTACGCTCAGGCAATCTCGTGTATGAAGAAGTGTTTTGAGACGTCTCAAAACACTTCTTCATACAGTGGCTGTTTGACCTACGCTCAGGCAATCTCGGGTCCCTTGGTCTCTCAATTGACAAGACAACAGCCATGGATGCAGAGCAGAGATGGCGTCTTGGAGGTCCACACGCACCTGCGTTCCAGTCCAGGTGTGAATTTCGGCACCGAAAAGTGTGACTTCCTTCCGTTGGGCCTTAACGTTGGGATTGTCACCAGCAGAAGTCATGACTCCTCCTCCCCACCTCGGGCCTGCCTATCTCCTCGCTTTCTCTTCCACCCGTCTACCTTCCCTTCCCCCCACCAGCCTCGGCACCATGGATGGATGTAAGGGCCGAATGATACCAGCAAATCCACGACCCTGCTCCTTGACCCCTCACTCCCTTTCTCTGTCAACCCCAGCCACACCCCCACCAGCCTCGGCACCACGGACGGTCCCAAAGGCCGAATGACATCAGCGGAAGCCATGAATCCGCCCCATGCCTACATGGTCCCTTTCCTTCCTACCCCCTCTCTCCAATTCTTTTCTTTCTCTCCTTCAATTTCTCCCCTCCACCTGTCTCGGGGGCACCATGGACGGCCCCAAGGGCCGAATGACATCAGTGGAGCGCACGAGCCCGCCTTACCTGCGCTGCTTACCCCCTTGCCCCCTCTCTCTTCTCGCTCTCCCCCTCACCAGCCTCGCCAACTTTTGAGTCGACTCAAAAGTCGGAGCGCACGAGCCCGCCTTACCTGCGCTGCTTACCCCCTTGCCCCCTCTCTTCTCGCTCTCCCCCTCACCAGCCTCGGCACCATAGATGCCCCCAAGGGCCGAATGACATCAGCATAAGCCGCGACCCTGCCACTCGGCTACTTACTCTCTTTCTCCTTCAACCCCCCTCTCCTGTGTCCCTGTCTCCCCCCCCCCCCCTTTTTCCCAACTCCTCTCTTCCTCTCTTCTCTTCCTTGCTCCCCCCACCAGTCTCGGCACCATGGACAGCCCCAAGGGCCGAATGACATCAGTGGAGGGCACGAGCCTGCCTGTGTCATGCATGCTTACTCCCCCCCTTGCCCCCCCCTCTCTCTTCTCGCCCTCCCCCCACCAGTCTCGGCACCATGGATGGCCCCAAGGGCCGAATGACATCGGTGGAGGTGGAAGGGGAGCTGCGAGCGCTGGAGGGGCAGGCGCAGATCACAGCGGTGAGTGGTGTGGAGTCTCCAGCGGCTTGCATAGCATCAAAGATTGAGGCTGAGGGAGAAGTGGAGGGGGGGGAGGTGGAGGGGGAGCTGCGGGCGCTGGAGGGGCAGGGACAGATCACAGCGGTGAGTGGGTGGGTTCTGTGTTGACTCTTGGGGGCCATGGGTTGCAATGCAACTTGCATAGCAGCAGAGGGGGAGGGGGGGCTGCGGGCGCTGGAGGGGCAGGCGCAGATCACAACGGTGAGTGGGTGGGTGGATACTGTGTTGACTTTCGGGGGCCATGGGTTGCAACCTGCATAGCAGCGTCTTGTGCCATGAGTTGGCCAATCCCCCATCCTCTCCCCCCCATCCTCCTCCCCCCCCCACCCATTCCCCCCATCACGAGCTGTACCACGAGTTGACCAATCCGGAGCAGCTGCAGCAGTCTCTGTGGTGATCCACGTTCCTCTTATCTCCCCCCTGTCCTCCTCCTTCCCCCCCTCCTCCTCCCCCCCCCCCCCCTTTTCCCCCACCAGGAGCTGTACCACGAGTTGGCCAATCTGGAGCAGCTGCAGCAGGTGTTGCGGTTATTCACATTCCCCTCTTCCCCCCTGTTCTCCCCCACCCCAATACTCTTGTCTTTTCCCCCATCCACCCCACCAGGAGCTGTACCATGAGTTGGCGAATCTGGAGCAGCTGCAGCAGTCGTTGGACAGACGGGTGAAGCAGGACTCCGACTCCGCTGTAAACAGAGGTGAGTGTGTGGTGGGATGGGTGGGTCGGTGGTGGGACGTTGGCGTTGCTTAGCACGAACACGAACCAAGGAGGGAGTGCTGCAGCAGTCGTTGGACAGACGGATGAAGCAGGACTCGGATTCCGCTGTCAACAGAGGTATGCTGCTGCTTCCCATGTTTTCATGCACAGAAGGGAGTTACTGCCTTGGTCTTGACTTCTGAACACAAGGAGTTGGCAGGTTTGGAGCAGTAGTTACAGCAATTACTGGACAGACGGGTGAAGCAGGACTCGGATTCCGCTGTCAACAGAGGTGAGTGTGTGGTGGGTGGGTGGGTGGAATGGTGGCATTGTTTAACATGAAGAGGGAGTGCTGCAGCAGTCACTGGACAGACGGGTGAAGCAGGACTCGGACTCTGCAGTCAACAGAGGTATGCTGCTGCTTCCCTTGTTTTCCATTCCAAATTGGTTCCACACAGAGGTGATGGGCTGGCAGCAGATGCGAGCAGAGGTGTCTTTTGAGTTGACTCAAAAGTCAATTGGTTCCCCACAGAGGTGAAGGGCTGGCAGCAGATGCGAGTAGAGGTGAGATGAAAGCGCAGGTGGAAATAGTGAAGGTGGCACCCTCTCACCTTCCATTCCCATCGCACTGCAACTTACCCAACCTGTCCCAACCGAACTCAACCCACCCCATCCCTGCAGAGCTGATAGCGCAGATGCGGGCAGAGATGAAGGTACAGGAGAAGATAGTGAAGGTGGCCCCTTCTCACCCTCCATTCCCATCCCATCGCATTGCAACCCACCAAACCCATTCCAACCCAACCCAATCGATCCCAACTCTTCCCAACCGAACCCAACGCACCCCTTTCTTGCAGAGCTGATAGCGCAGATGCGGGCAGAGATGAAGGCACAGGAGAAGATAGTGAAGACGATGAAGAAGAAAGGGCTTTGGTCGAAGACCATGGATGAGGTGGGCTGGTCTGCTGGTGTGAGCTGGTGTGAGCTGGTGTGAGCTGTTGTGAGCTGGTGTGCGTGCGTGTGAGCTGGTGTGCGTGCGTGTGAGCTGGTGTGAGTTCGTGCGTGCTGTATGGGTGATACTTGTTGCTATGAAGATAGTGAAGACGATGAAGAAGAAAGGGCTCTGGTCCTAAACCATGGATGAGGTGCGCTGGTGTGCAAGATGGTGTGAGTGTGTGTAAAGCCATGGTACCTGTGTGGGGCCTACTTGGATGGTGAAGACGATGAAGAAGAATGGGCTCTGGTCCAAAACCATGGACGAGGTGCGTTGGTGTGGTGTGAGGGAGTGCAAGTGAGGTGAGCTGGTGTGAGGGAGTGCAAGTGAGGTGAGCTGGTGTGAGGGAGTGCAAGTGAGGTGAGCTGGTGTGAGGGAGTGCAAGTGAGGTGAGCTGGTGTGAGGGAGTGCAAGTGAGGTGAGCTGGTGTGAGGGAGTGCAAGTGAGGTGAGCTGGTGTGAGGGAGTGCAAGTGAGGTGAGCTGGTGTGAGGGAGTGCAAGTGAGGTGAGCTGGTGTGAGGGAGTGCAAGTGAGGTGAGCTGGTGTGAGTGCCTGCCTACCTTTCTGCACTGCACTGCGCTACAGGTGGTCACCACTTTGGTACCTTGGTCCACTCCTCCAAAACCCCTTTGTTTGCACTGCCTGCCTACTTACCTTTGTGCACTGCCTGCCTGCTTACCTGTCTGCGCTGAACGGCAGGTGGTGGAGAAGCTAGTTCAGGTGGTCATATTCCTGCACGACCAGATTGTGGACGTGTTTGGGGCCGATGGTGAGTGTTTCCGTGTACATGCCTTGTGCTGCCACGTGCCTGCCACAACTGAGTGCTTCTAGTGGTCGTATTCCTGCACGACCAGATCGTAGACGTGTTTGGGGCCGATGGTGAGTGCAGAAAGGTCATTGCTGCTTCCATACATTCACCCGATGAGCTGCTGATTTGAGGAAGCAAGCCCATCTTCTGCTCATCTCCCCCTCCTCTCTACCCATCCCATCTCCTTTCTTTGTACCCCCTCCCCTCCATTTCTACCCTTACCTGCATCGTAATCTCACCCACCGATTTCTGTGGTGAAGGTGGGGCTCCTCATGTCCGGCACGCCTCCCACAGCTGCTGATCTGCCTCCCATCCATGCCGCTCATACACCCTTCCTCCTTCCCCTTTCCTCCTGCAGTGGTGAAGGTGGGTCACCTCATGTCCGGCACGCCTCCCACAGCTGCTGATCTGCCTCCCATCCATGCCGCTCATACACCCTTCCTCCTTCCCCTTTCCCCCTGCAGTGGTGAAGGTGGGTCACCTCATGTCCGGCACGCCTCCCACAGCTGCTGATCTGCCTCCCATCCATGCCGCCCATGCACCGTTTTCCCGGCGTATCTATCCAACCCCACCTTTTCCCCCTTCCCCTTTTGAGTCAACTCAAAGCTTCCCCCTTCCCCCAGCCACTGCAGTGGTGAAGGTGGGGCGCCTCATGCCGGGCACGCCTCCCCGGATCTGCCTGCCCCATCCATGCTGCCCATGCACCCCTCTCCCTTCTTATCTATCCAACCCCACTATGTCTCCTCCTTCCCCTTTCCCCCTGCAGTCGTGAAGGTGGGGCGCCTCATGTCCGGCACGCCGCCTACGGCTGCTGATCTGAGGAAGCTCGGAGTGAACGGCATGGCGCTGCAGTACGCCAACATTGTCAACATGATCGACACCATGGTGAGTTATGTGTTACTCTCGCTCCCTTCCCCTTCATGATCAATGGCGCCATGGTATATGCTGCTCCCTCTTTCCCTTCATGCTGGTAGTAACACTCCGCAATCTGCTCGGAGTGAACGGCATGGCGCTGCAGTACGCCAACATTGTCAACATGATTGACACCATGGTGAGTTATGTGCTGCTCTCTTTGGTATGTGCGGCTCTCTTTTGCCCTTGGCTGGTGGTAGCAATCAGCTCGGAGTGAACGGCATGGCGCTGCAGTACGCCAACATTGTCAACATGATTGACACCATGGTGAGTTATGTGCTGCTCTCTTTGGTATGTGCGGCTCTCCTTTTCCCTTGGCTGGTGGTAGCAATCAGCTCGGAGTGAACGACATGGCGCTGCAGTACGCCAACATTGTCAATATGATCGACACCATGGTGAGTTATGTGTTACTCTCGCTCCCTTCCCCTTCATGATCAATGGCGCCATGGTATGTGCTGCTCCCTCTTTCTTCATGCTGGTAGTAACACTCCGCAATCTGCTCGGAGTGAACGGCATGGCGCTGCAGTACGCCAACATTGTCAACATGATCGGCACGATGGTATGCGATGCTCTCTCTCTTCCTTCCCCATGCCATGATGGTATGCTGGCATTGCTTGCTAGCATGGCGCTGCAATACGCCAACACAGTCAACATGATTGACACCATGGTACGATATGTGTTGCTCTCTCTCCCTTCTCCTTGGTGCTGGTGGGACCTGGTGAGGCTGCTGGTACACCGTGTGTGTGGGTGGGTGGGGTGAACGGCATGGCGCTGCAGTACGCCAACATTGTCAGCATGATTGACACCATGGTACATCTCCCATTCGCTTTCCCTTCCTGTTCTGCGGCGCCGCGTTATGTGCTGCTCTCATTTCCCTTCTTGCGGGTGGGTGGTAGCAATGAGTAATGAGCTCGGAGTGAACGGCATGGCGCTGCAGTACGCCAACATTGTCAACATGATCAACACACAATGGTATGCCTACCAGGCCTCAGGATTGCAGGGCATTTCACCCTGATTAGCCTGTTTTTCAGGGTCGTTTTTTGAGACCACACTGTAAATACAGGTTTCAAGGGTTTTACCGCCCTGTCACGATCAGGCCTCGTGAATTTTTTACCCTTGTTTTGCAGTTGTTGGTTCTTGTAGCACACTGCCTTGGCCGAGTTCGGTAGTGGCAGCACTCTGACTGAGTTTTTTTTCCCTCAGCCATTTGAGAAATGGTCAAGTCCTTGCCGGGAGACATTCACACATACACCAGAACAAGCAGCGGATGTGCTCGAAAACTGGTTAAGTCGTTTCCACAGAGACACTCACACATACACCAGAACAAGCGTCGGATGTGCTCGAAAACTGGCTAAGTCCTTTCCACGGAGACACTCACACAGATTGGACCGCTGCAGCCTAGTTTAAAATTTCACCCTGCCATACCAGACCAGAATTTTTTCAACACCCTGCCATTTCTAGGGTACGACGCGGCAGCAACACTGCAGTGGCAGTGTGACTTCGACCTAAAACTTTGACTTGACAGGGTGGCCCAAAACGAATCAAGACCCCTGATGCCTACCCTACCTTTTTCTCTCCCGTACCTTTCCATTTCACTTATTTTTTTCCGAGGTGACCCTTATGGCCGATTGTGTGGCTGGTGTGTGTAAGCCCATCGGCCTTGATCTCATCCCTCCCCTCTACTTCCTATCCCCGGCCCCTCCCTATCATCAGGTGATGCGCCCAGCGTGTGTGGAGACTCAGAGGGAGGCCCTTTTCTCTGCTCTACCTGCTTCTGTCTGTGGGCGGTTGAAGCGCACGCTGCTCCAGTCGCAAGACATAGAGCAGGTGGGTGGGGTGCAGTGCAGTGCCATGCGGTGTGGTGTGGTAACCATGGGTCACCATGCTTTCTCTGCTCTGCCTGCTTCTGTCTATGGCTGGTTAAAGCGCATGCTGCTGCAGTCGCCAAGACATAGAGCAGGTGGGTGGGGTGTGCTATGTTTGATGCCGTTTGGTGTCGTGCAGTGTGTTGTGGTGCAGTGCGGTGCGGTGTGATGTGATATGGTGTAGTGTGGTATCCAGGGGTCGCCCTGCCTTCACTGCTCTGCCTGCTTCTGTCAGTGTGGTCGGTTGAAACGCACGCTGCCTCAGTCACAAGACATAGAGCAGGTGGGTGCAGTACGGTGGGGTGGGGTGTGGTGTGGTGAGATGTGGTGCGGTTCGGCGTGGTGTGGTGTGGTGCATTGACGGCGGTGCTGGACTGTGCTGGTTGTATCTGCAATGACTTGACCACCACACACATTACACACATCCATTCAGCTGCACACCCCCTTCCCCCCTCTCCCTCTCCAGGAGAGCGCGGAGAGCATCCGGCAGAAGCTGGGGGTGGTGCTGGACTGGACTGGTCTGGTTGATAACAAGGTTACCCGTACACACCCCATCACAAACTCACACACGCACATGCTGCCCCACCGTCCTTCTTACCTCCTCTGCAGGAGAGCGCGGAGAGCATCCGGCAGAAGCTGGAAGCGGTGCTGGACTGGTCTGGTCGATAAGATGAACCGTCCATACTTACACATGCATTCACAAGCTTAGAGAAACTACTCCGCCCCTCAACCTCCCCTCCCTCCCACTCGCCTCTCCAGGAGAGTGCGGAGAGCATCCTGCAGAAGATGGAAGCGGTGCTGGACTGAAGGGCTGGTCGCTTCAGAAATAATCTTGCACACTTGTATTAGACTAATACACACTTGTACGCGCCCACACACACACGCATACTCATTTGGCACGTGCTCACACATTCCAACCCCCTTTCCCCACAGGAGAGCACGGAGAGCATCCGGCAAAAGATGGAAGCGGTGGCTGGACTGGCTGGCTGGTCGTGTAGGGACTGACTTGTACACACATCCCATCCCCCCCTCTCCACCCCCCCACACACATTCCCGCTCTCTCCATGCAGGAGAGCACGGAGAGCATTCGGCAGAAGATGGAGGCGGTGTCTGGATTGGCTGGTTGTACGCGCCCACACACATACCCGCACTGTGCACACATGTAACACATACTCACGCACACATGCCATGCCAACCCCCTTTCTGCAGGAGAGCACGGAGAGCATTCGGCAGAAGATGGAGGCGGTGCTGGACTGGCTGGTTACCATGGCGGAGAACACAATTCGGTACGTTGGTGCTCAACACAGAGTCAGGCAGGTACAGAGTGCCGAACACATTCAGAATAACTGAGAAAGCAAAGCCGCTTGCAGCAGAAGATGGAGGCGGTGCTGGACTGGCTGGTTACCATGGCGGAGAACACAATTCGGTACGTTGGTGCTCAACACAGAGTCAGGCAGGTACAGAGTGCCGAACACATTCAGAATAACTGAGAAAGCAAGGCGGCTTGCAGCAGAAGATGGAGGCGGTGCTGGACTGGCTGGTTACCATGGCGGAGAACACAATTCGGTACGTTCAGCTAAGCACCATTCTGTACACCGTTGCTCAACTTTTCTCTCTGCGTTCACTTTGAATGACTGGGTTCACGCCTCGTACAAGAAATGGAAGAGTTTCGACCACAGCGAGCCTGCAGTTCATGCCATGCCTTGTAAAGAGAGACAGGCCGCTCAGCTTTTGAGACGTCTCAAAAGCCTGCAGTTCATGCCATGCCTTGTAAAGAGAGACAGGCTGCTCAGCTTGCAGCAGCAGATGGAGGCGGTGCTGGGCTGGAGGCTGCCTGGTGAACTTGTCTTGGAGGAGAACACACCATTTGGTATGCTTATTTTTGAGGTGCCTAAAAAAAGACTTTTCAGGCGCCTCAAAAAACACCATTTGGTATGCTTATTTTTTAGGTGCCTAAAAATATATATTTTCTTGGAGGAGAGCACCATTTGGTATGTTCATTCTGGAGTTCTCATTCCGTGAATGGATCATTTGATCATTGCGTCTTGAGATTTCTGCTGCTGCTGCTGCTGCTGCTGCTGCTGCTGCTGCTGCTGCTGCTGCTGCTGCTGCTGCTGCTGCTGCTGCTGCTGCTGCTGCTGCTGCTGCTGCTGCTGCTGCTGCTGCTGCTGCTGCTGCTGCTGCTGCTGCTGCTGCTGCTGCTGCTGCTGCTGCTGCTGCTGCTGCTGCTGCTGCTCGTGCGCTTGCACCATCTACCCGCCGCTCCCTCCCCTCCGCTACCGCTCCTGCCCCTGCTGCCCCTGTTTCCCCTGCTTCCCATGCACTAGAAGCGCTGCTGCTTCGGCTGTAGCACCCCTTCTGCTTCCAACCCCCGTCAACCCACCCACCCAGCCACCCACACACCCTCCCAACCACCACCTCCCGTTTTCGTCCTTTTCCTCCCTCGTTCCGCCTATCCCCATTCCCAGGTTCGGGCTAGACAGCAGGGTGCAGGGGCACACGGACCTGACGCTCCTGCAGACGCTGCTTCAGCTCCCCGTCACCTTGTTCTGTATCCCCCCCCTGCCAACTCCTTCTCTCATTCTCTTATCTCTCCCTTCCACCTTCCTCATTCCTCACCCAGGTTCGGGCTAGACAGCAGGGTGCAGGGGCACACGGACCTGACGCTCCTGCAGACGCTGCAGCATGTGGATCATCTCAAGATGGAGCGCCTCGTGCTGCTGCTGCTCGTGGGGCTTCAGCACCTCGCCACCCCCTCCCTTCCCTCCCTCCCTTCCCTCCCTCCCTTCCCTCCCTCCCTTCCCTGCCCCACCCCTGCTGCTGTCCCTGCTCCCCCCTGCTGCCCCTGCTGCGCCCCCTACCCCCAGAATTGCCGCTGCTTTGGCTGTAGCAACCCGCCTGCTTCCTGCTCCCACCCACCTGCCCTCCTACCCCCCCCACCTGCCGTTTTTTGTCCTTTTCCCCGCCTCTCCCCTCTCCCAGGTTCGGGCTAGACAGCAGGGTGCAGGGGCACACGGACCTGACGCTCCTGCAGACGCTGCAGCATGTGGACCACCTCAAGATGGAACGCCTCGTGCTGCTGCTGCTCGTCGGCCTGCAGCACCTCGCCAGCCGCAGCGCAGACCATGACTGGAGCCCTGTTCCCCGCGGGGTCGTGCTTGCACCGGTGTATTCCCCTAGGGTCATGTCTCCTAATCGTGCCGGCTCTTCTGCTGTTGCTGCCGCTGCTGGTTCTGCTGGTGCTGCTGGTGATGATATTCCTGCTGAAACGGCTGCTGCTGCGAGTGAATTGGAGGGAATGGTGGTACGTGCTAATGGGGAGAAGACTGGAGAGATGGAAGAGAAAATAACTGCTGTAGTAACAGCCTCTGCCAGCGCGGGTGCTGTTGCCATTGGTGCTGCTCCTGCAGAGTCAGACGGTGCTCCTGCTGCTGCTCTTTCGGCTGGGTCTGATGAGGCAGTTGCGTCTATTCCAGAGGATTTCCGGTTCCCGTTGCCTAAGTCCACTTCTGTGGAGTCACAGGGGGTAGCTGAAGGAGCTTCTGCAGCAGCAGGAGAAGCAGCAGGAGGAGCAGCAGGAGGAGGGGGAGGCAAGGAGGCAGAGCCGGCAGTTGTGCCGCCCATATCTCTCTCCCGCGCCCGTCGCAGCCTCTCAGAGAGCGTCCCAACGGTGGGCGATTGGGAAACTCTTCCCCGGCGCATTGCAGCAATGGAGGAGGAGGAGAAGGCACGCGCAGAAGAAGGGGCCTCGGATTCTGCCGCAGCAGAGGGGTTGGGCGGTGGGGAAACCGGTCGGCCTCGATCGGCTGGGCTTGAAGCTGGTGCGGTGGATGCGGCAGGCTCGGCCGAGCCTCCGGTGTGGCGGCAGGTCCGGCAGGCGTCTCTTACTGACGTGTCTCTGGAGCCGGTTCCTGAGGTGGAGGTGATGGAAGGGGAGGAGGGAGAGGGCGAGGGAGAAGAGGAGGGAGAGGGGGAGAAGGGAGAGCGAGAGGAAGGAGAGGAGGAAGAGGAGGAGGTGCATCAGAAAGAGAAGGATGATCTGTTGACTCCGCTAGCGTCTAAGACTGTGGGAGGTAGTGGGAGTCGACCGTCTAGCAGCAGTGGAAAGCTCGTGCCAGCTGCCGCTGCTGCCACCGCTGCTGCTGCTGGCGCTGCTGGTACTTCTGCTTCCGCAGCAGAGAATGCCGAATCTCCTGCTGCTGCTGCTCGTAGGGCGCTAGCTAGTGGCATGGGCACCAGCCGGAAGAGTTTAGAAAACGCCCTTCGCATGGGGGGTAATGCTGGTAAACGCCCTGTGGACGCCTCCGGAGCTTTCGGAAGCCCGCTCGACCGAAGCAAGCTGCCAGGTTCGGCAGCAGGCTCGGGGCCGCCGTTGGCGGGCGAGGCTTTGCTGGCAGCGATGACCATGAGCCAGGGCTTTGGTCCGGCAGCCCGAGGCGCAGCTTCGGAAGAGATGATGGAGGCAATGCGAGAAGCCACGTACGGCCGAAGCAGGAGCCACACCTTTGCCATGGCGGCTCGGCCCGAACCTAACCCGAGGTTCTTCACGAAATCCCTGAGCAGATACAGCCTACTGAGGCGAATGGAGGCGGAAGAAGCAGGGGGAGGTGGTGCTGGTGGCGGTGCGGGCAGCAGCAGCACTGGGGGAGGGTCGATATTTGTGGCGCCTCAGAGGTTCTTACCGATGACTCCTGCAACGGTGGATGTAGACCGGATTCACGATGTGAAACCGGATCTGGACCTCACCAGTGTGGCCGCGCCTAGACTGGGAGGGAGGCTGGTGTAGTGCACTCCCCGCCTGCTGTGCTGCTGCTGCTGCTGCTGCTGCTGGTGGTGCTGGTAGGGCTGCTGCCGCTGCCGCTGGTTCTGCTGCTGGTAGTGTGGTAGAGTTGCTGCTGCTGGGTAAGTTAGTAGGCTCGTGCTGGTGTAGTTTGCAGCTGGAGTGGAGTAGTCATACTTGCTGGCATACGCAGCAGTGAAGGCAGTTTGCTGAGTGGTGTGGTTTGCAGCGTGGTAAACTTTTCTCTTCAACAACTCTTCTGAATCAGGGTGGTTTTCCCCTCCACCCTGACAATCAGGGCAATAAAGGTGATAGCGCACAATACACCCTGATATTTTGGTTCAGGGCTACCGTATTATTTGGTTAGCTTGGGACAGGCAGGTTGTAGAGCGTTGGCTCTTTCAAGCTCGTGAATATACCGTATTACCCCGGATAGTAGCGCATATGCGCTTATAATAAAATCCGTTTTTTTGGTGGTGGCGCTTTTAATTGAGTATCGGCCATAAGCGCCGGCGCTTATATAGTGACAAATACAGAAATACAACTTAAACGCATTAAAATGTACATTTCCGTCTCGTAGGTTCAATCGAGTCGACATTCAATAGCGTCCTAAATTTGAATCGCGTGAGGGCGAATCTCTGACGCTGCACATAGCTTTTCGCACGTCAATTTGCCCGCGTGCCACCTCATCCTGACTGGACGCGAAACCAGTCAGGACCTCGAAAGTCAAACAAAGTGAAAATGGGTGCTGACTCGCTTGAATTTTGAAATTCGTTACTCTTTTAATCAGGATTGAAAGAATAAAATTATACATGCGCTTATAATAAATCAGGGTTTTACAGGGGGGGCGCTTATAATCGAGGAACGGCCATAAGCGCCATGCTCCAGATATAGGCGCCGGCGCCTTTAATCGGACGGCGCCTATATCCGGGGCCATACGGTAAAACTTCTTAAAAAGCCCTGTAAGTAAATGGTGTAGCTGCTGCTGCTGGACCGTGATTAGTCTGCATGTACTTTTCAGTGTAGCGCTGGTTGTAGTACTGAATGCATTGAATGTGCAATGCTCTACAGGTGTACCTTCAAGTTATAAAGCTGGCTAAATTGGGTGCCTTGAGTCCATCTAGGTTGTATCTCAAGTAGAAGTTATCTCAAAAGTGTTGGAAACAACTAATTAAACGCTTCTTATGTGTCGTAACACCGAACTACAAACGAGGCGAACTACAGAGGAACAACGGCGAGTCAACCATCGGAGGTTGACAAGAGAAGTAACTGCTGGAGGTTACGCGAAGGTCAAAGGTCAGCGACCTTCGACTTGACAAATACAGCATGACAGCAAGGACAAACAACTGACTCGATACTGAGCAGTTGCCCGAGTCGTCACTATATCAAACCGCAACAGCAACAGTAAAATGGTTATTAGCTGTATCTTTTCATATTCCTTGCACTCTTATAAAACCTTGTATCTTCTTTTCAATCTACCTTGCCCTCACACACTAGCGCAAGGTGGTTCAACACTTGTTACTAAACGCTTCCGCAAATACAACACTTCTACTCAGAGTTTAGCCTTGAAAAGATCCTAAGGGCTTTTTCTCAGCCCAACAAAAAACACTTCAGATGGGCATCTGCCTTCTACTCTATACTAGGACCAGCAGGCAACAGGTATTGATTAAACTACCGTTATGTACAGATCAGGATTATATGCAGAGGAGTCTTGATTGAGTACTGTAGCAACTTCGGTGTCCCTACTCTAGCCTGGGAGTTTGAATGACCACCAACAAACCAAATGCGATATGAAAGCATGAGATGGCTGCAAACCAAGTGTAATTATGCGAGTCCAAAAACCCCAAAACCGGATTTGTTGCTGCCGCTCCTGCTGCTCTTGCTCCTGTTGGTGCTGCTCTTGTTGCTGCTGCACCTGATATTGATGCTGCTGCTACTGATGGTGGTGCCACCAGTACCAACCGTATCTAGTACTGCACTCGTTGTTCCAACCCCACTCCCGTACTTTCTACTGTAGAGCTGCTTTTGAGGCGCCTCAAAAGCCTTGCTTTGCGCTCATTGCTCCAACCCCACTGCTACTCTTTGTGCTGATGCTTTTCTTGCTGTCCTTGCTGTTGCTCTTGCTGCGGCTGCTGCTGCTCTTATTGTTGCTCCTGCTGCTGTGGCTGCTGTGGGTGGTGCTGGTGCTGGTGACTCTGTGCCTTGGCAGGTGGCGGGCAGCTGCAGCAACGGGCAACCACACAGCAGCAGCAGCACGTGGAGCAGTATCCTCCTCCCTTCCGCCACCAGTGGTGCCACCAATACAACCTCCTGCTCTTGCACTGCGCTCCTTGCCCTGACCCCACTCCCCTCCCCCTCCCCTTTTCCTGCTGCTGCTAGTGGTGCTGTTGTTGCTCTTGCTGCTGCTCTTGCTGCTGCTGCTGCGGCTCTTGAGGGTGGTGTTGGTGGTGGTGAGTGTGTACCTTGGCAGGTGGAGGGCAGGAGCAGCAGCGGGCAACCACACAGCAGCAGCAGCACGTGGAGCAGTATCCTCCACCCTTCCGCCACCAGTGGTGCCACACCCTCCTGCTCTTGCACTTCGTAACGCGTTGTGTCCCCCTCTGCTCCCCCATTTGTTCGCCCCTCTCCCCTCCCAGCTGCTCCCCCGCTGGAACTCCACTGCCCCTCCCTTGCTCTCCTTCTCTTCCCTGCTCCTGCTGCTGCCTCTCCGCTTCTAAGAAGGCATCTAACGCAGCTGACGTCTCTGCTGCGTCCTTGAACTCGCCAATAACTAACCGCAGTATACACAACACTGCAGCCAGTGCAGCAGAAATAAGCATTCCAAACACCAGCCTCCACCCCAGGTCTCCTGCTCCTTTCCCCCCGCCTCCTCCCCCAATCTCTGCCACTATTCCCGTTAGAAACGGACCCAGAGCAGCCCCTAACGACCCCGTGCCATCAATAATCGCAGTAACCGTAGCCAACCCTTTGGAATTCCCTCGGAGCGACGCGTGCTGCCCCAGATCAGCCGACACAGCACAAGTGATAAGCGCATAGGGCCCGTTCACAAAAAATCCGACCAATGAGAGCAGCCCTATGTGCACAGAGAGCGAAATTCCGCCCAGAAAAGAGTAGAGGAGGAGAGCGGGGACGGCTAGGAGCATGAAGGAAGCGGACATGGTGGCGTGGGCGCCCGTATGGTCGGAGAGATGGCCTGCCACTATCCCTCCCAGCACCCCTCCTACGTCAAAGACTGTTGACGTCACTCCGGCAAACGCGTCAGTCAGATGGTGCCCGGCAATCTCTGCTCCAAGGGGCGTAGGGAAAAGAGGGGAGAGGGAGGAAGAGGAGAGAGCAGTGAGCAGTGAGCACGGGAGAAGAGGGGCATCTGTATGGTCGGAAAGATGGCCTGCTACTATCCCCCCCAGCACCCCTCCTAGGTCAAAGACTGTCGATGTCACACCCGCAAACGCGTCAGTCAAATGGTGGCCTGCTATTTCTGCTTGGGGAGGTGGGAAGGAAAAGGGGAGAGAAGTGAGCAGAGGAGCAGGAAATGTGTATGGTCGGAGAGATGGCCTGCTACTTCCCCTTCTCTCCGAAGCGAAGGCTCGGTCCCCACCCCCACCTCCCTCCCCCCCTCGCCCCAAAAGTCAGAGTCTGTCCAGACGCCCGCAGTAGTTACAATATATTCCCCATTTGTTTTTTTTTTTACGGAGTACATTAGGCGGTTTTCGTCTCACCTGTGCGCTTGATGTAGAACGGGAGCCAGTACAGGAACGTGTACGCCACAAGCTTAGCGAAGAACAAGCATAACGCGTACGCCGCAACACCAGGAATTTGACATGCGTCCCAGAAACTGATCGCCTCGTGCTCCTCGCCGCTCCCTCCCATCCCCGCTTTAAGCACATCCTCTGTTATCACAATCCGACCCTCCGCTCCCGGCCCCGCATCATCCTTCCCCTGCAAAAGCGGCACTGCAAGCTGCTCCGATACTGACGCATAAGTAGCCTCTTTAGGGGCTAACAGGGCAGCATCGAAACCAGCCGCCACGTCAGCGCACTCAACAGCCTCGAACCCCGACTCCTCGTCCCCCTCCCCGTGCACGCTCCCGCCCGCCTCACTAGACGACTCCGACAGCAGCAGCGAATGCGGCGACTCCAGCCCTATGGTTTCCGGTTCCGGCGCAAGAAACAGAAACATGATCAGCGCTCCCGCCATGATACTGAATCCGGGGATGAGAAACGCCCAGCCCCATCCGCTTGCAAGCGCGGAAGACGCGATGAGCGATCCGAGAATGTTGCCGACGGAAGTGTGTGCGTTCCACACGCCAAGAATCAACCCGCGGCCTTTTTTTCCGTACCAGCTGGCCATGATCGCGACGACGCTCGGCCAGCCCGTCGCCTGGAGGAACCCCGCGGCCATTTGCACCACTGCGAAGTAGTTTAACGAGTGTATATTCCAGAAATACCCCATGCCGAAGAGGGATACGAATAAGCCGCTGCCGAACATCCCCACGGAGAGGAAGACGCGGAGGTCGATGCGGTCACCGACGTGGCCGGCGATGTACAAGCCAATCGCGTAACATCCCAGAAACGCAATATCGAGTTCTCCGAGGAGAGATTTCCCGGATTTACCGTTGAAAGGAGCCCATCCGGCTTTTTTTTCTGCCCGCAAAAGAGAGTTTTCTGGGTGGGTTTCCAGCCGCTGGAGGTAGAACGTCCAGGGATTGCTTGTAACGGAGTTGCCTGTATCGAGAGGGTCGAGCACGCCCTTGACAATGCTGGGAGGCTTTCGCGAGGCGTGGTATAACGCGTATGCGATAAAGGTGAGAACAAGGACGAAAATCTGGTGCGTCGCGAAGGAGAAATCCTTTGGCCGGAAGCGACGAATGAGAGCCAGGCCCGGCGGCGCGGTGGAGCACGCGCGGGAAACCATTGCACCGAGGTGAGCTGTTCTAAGCTTCAGCCTGCGGTCCTAGTAGACCTGTTCACAAAATACTACGACCAAAGAGCAGCAGCTAAGGACTGAGGAATAGGTTGCCTTGGTGATGTTACTTACGGCTGCGACGATGCCTGAAACGCGAGGCTGCTGGGAGAACAAACACACATTCCTTCTACGGCTGACATGACAGCTCCCACCACAAGCAGAAATCAACAGGGACCACCAAGTGTTCCCAAGGCCTCGATTCCAAGCAGCCATAGATGATGGGATTTTCCAGTACTCCTTGTCATCTCGGGGACAACGCGGATAGGTTCGTCGGTGCTCCTCGAGATTGGTTGTTGACCCTTGAACAGAGGAGCCACATGGGCAGAAGCGGTATCGTCGAGCTGACCGGATGACTGTATGCTCAATTGATTTCTCGACAGCAGTAATGGCGTGTGCAAAGTGCTGCACAAACTCGACGTCGAGCAACGTCGGTGAATTTCCACCCTCGGATCAAAGGTTCCAACCGTCAGGATTCACCAACGTTCCTCGACGTCGAGTTTGTGCAGCACTTTGTACACGCCATAAGCGTGTGCGAAGTGCGAGGATGGTTTCTGGGGCAGGTTTGCCTGAATGGAAACTGATCTGACCAGAAATTATCGACGATGTCCTTGGACGGACAGATGACGTCCATTCTCGATGACTGCGGTTCGGGATGGCCCCACCGCGCCGCCTTAATTCGTGCGCAAGATGACGCTGATTGGTTTACGGGAATATTCTCTTCACTTGATTCCTTCTCGAGATTGGTGCGCGCGAACAAGTCAGCATGAAGTTCGCGGCCGTCAGCTCGTCCCTGTCAAGAGCTCCACCCTTGGCGTTTGCCCCATTTCAGGCACACCCCAACAAGGCAGAGGTAAGGGAGGTTTCCGGAATGGTGAGACGAGTTCGTTTTCAAGTACCCCAGTATCCAATACAACCAAAACAAGTTAGCATGCTACGCTTATCTTACTAGAATGGAAACACTATCAGGATAAAGGACTGACAAGCATTACTTGAAGAATCCACCCTTGAAACCTTTGTGGCCCTTGTGATTTCCATAATAACCTGCAATCCACCACCAAATTAGCAAGTGATACAAAGAAATGAAGAAAATTACTGCCATGGAATATTTGACACCTGGAACGGAATGGTAAGGCTTCACATCTGACTGTTTCGAGAACGGAGAACAGGAAACAAGTAGTGAAACAGGTAATGAAAGCAAGTAACGGTACAAAAACATCACACTGCTACGCATCACGACAGCAGCGACTCTGTACACGCGGGAAAGCCCAGCATGAAAGCAGTAATGCATAATGGCACGTACCACCTTGTACCACGATGCATAATGCACCCACCATGATGCATGTTGCATGCAACATGACGCATGATGGACACAAATGCCCTACGGAAGTTTTATATGCCCGCTGCACGTACCATGGTGCCCATGGCCATGCACCACCATCACAGGCTGGTTGCTCTAGTGAGAGTAATACCCCCAAGGGGCAGCACCATAGGCATACGGGGCTGGAGGAGGGGCGTAGGAAGCAGGAGGAGGAGGATGGCCGTATGGGGCAGGAGGAGGGGCGTAGGGGTACCCATAGGGGGGAGCTTGAGAAGGTGGGGGGTAACCGGGGTATCCGTAAGGAGGGTTTTGAGAAGAGGGGGGGTAACCGTACGGGGTGGGAGGGTAAGCGCCCTGAGATGGGGGGGGAGGATATGCGGATTGAGAGGGAGCGGGAGGGGGAGGATATGCGGACTGGGAAGGAGGTGGGGGAGGAGGATAAGAGCCTTGAGAGGAGGGAGGAGGAGGATACGCGTTTTGAGAGGAAGGGGGATAGGCGCCTTGAGAGGAGGAAGAGGATGGGGGAGGATATGGGTTTTGGGATGGAGGCTGGGGAGGAGGGTGGTGGACTGGTGGTGCTGCAGCTGATGGTGCTGCTGCTGGTTGCGCTGCTGGTGCTGATGGTGCTGCTGCCCCTGCTGCTGCAGCACCACCGATTGCAAGACCACCCATAGCTGCCCCAACTGCTGCAACGGCTGCTGCATCCCCCCTTGTGTGTGCTCCACTACCCCCCCTTGCATGTTCGTATGAGCTCACTCCTGATCCTATGGAGTGGTGTTGGGGTTGGGATACCTGTGTTGCTGTGGGCTGGCGGGGGCAGCTGTAGGGGTGTGTGAGAGGAGCAGAGGGGGGTGGCGTTGCTGTGGGCTGGGGAGGGTAGTTGTAGGAGTGAGTGGGGGGAGGGGAGCGGGGTGGGGAAGGGACAGGAGAATGAGGGGGAGACAGAGGGGGGGCAGATGGGGGACCACTGGAGTGTACTCTTGGGTAGTCAATACTGGAGTAGGTAGAAGAAGCAGCAGAAGGAGGAGGAGGAGCTGCATCAGCAGCACCACCACCATAAGGGTAGTCGGCATAATTACCACCAGCAGCACCAGCAGCAGCGGCAGCAGCGGCAGCAGCAACCCCAGCACCAGCAGCACCAAGAGGAGAAGGAGCGAGAGGAGAAGGAGGGTAGAGATGACTAGGTGCCGACTCCTGGTGCTGGAAGGAGAAAGCCGAGTCTGAGGATGAGTACTGGCTGTGGAACGAGGAGGACGGGGAATCTGATGAGGAGGAAAGGTGGGACGAGTGGGAGGGAGACTGGGTGTGGAAGGAAGGGGAGGTGGGTGGCTGGGAACGCGGGCTGTGTGGCAGAGAGGGGTAAGGGGATGGGTACAGATGGGTCTGGTCTGGTAATTGAGCTGGTTCAGAAACCGGCTGTGGCGGAGGGGGATAGAGTGATTGGGGTGGGGGAAAGGCGTGGGGTTGAGAGGACTGCTGCCGTGGTGATGAGGTGTAGTGGTCAGGGAGGGGAACACGTGCTCTTGCTGCTCCTGCTGCTCCTCCTGCTGCTGTTCCTGCTCCTGCTGCTGCTGCTGCTGCTGCTGCTGCTGCTGCTGCTGCTGCTGCTGCTGCTGCTGCTGCTGCTGCTGCTGCTCCTGGTGCTGCTGCTGCTGCTGCTGCTGGTGCTGCCGTTGAGGAATGTATGGTAGAAGGAGGCGCGGATGCGTTCCGCTGGGACTGGGCCAAAGAGTAAAAGAATTAAGGAAAAAAAAAGAATAGAAAAGAAATTAAATCACAAAGAATAATGATACAGTCAAACATCCATTGAGTGACGATTCGCTGGGGAAAATGACATTTAGATGTGGAACCAAAACAAATACAAAGAACAAGTTAGGGAACATGATAACAGGTACGCCTTACAGGGATATACTTCAGAACGAGACGAATATAACCCTTTTGCCTGCAAAGCAATCCCAAGAGCAGCACAGGGGAAAAACGACGTAGGGAGGAGTTTTGAGGCACCTGAACAAGCCCTTTGCCTGCATAAAAATGCCAGGAGCAGCAGAGGGAAAGAAATGAGTAGAGTAAGTGCATGTTTGAGTCTCGCCAGGCTGGAAAGACGTAAGGAAGGGAGGCTGGCAGAAAAAAACTTCGAGATGTCGCAAAAAAAAAAAAAAAAAAAAAAAGGGCAAGTGGACAGAATTAAGTTTCTGAAAGGGCCTTCAGAACCAGAAATGCACATGGAATGAACCAGAAATGCCATACTTTTGCTTCTTAGTGAAGAGTGGGTGCCACATGTCCCACACTTGTGTTGTCAGTGCTGGCTGGAAGTTCACCCTGAACGAAATTTAGGAGACAGTGCAAGGAAGAAAAGCAAAGGGGGAGACACGAACTGAAGGGCATGCTGCGGGACGAATATTTCTGCTCTGCTGTCAGTGCTGGCTGAAATTTCACTCCGATCGAAATGTAGGAGTCAGTGCAAGGAAGAAAAGAAAAAGGGGAGACGTGAAACGCGTTAGTGTCGAACGGCGAATATTTCTGCTCTGCTGTCAGTGCTGGCTGAAATTCCACTCCGATCGAAATGTAGGAGTCAGTGCAAGGAAGAAAAGAAAAAGGGGAGACGTGAAACGCGTTAGTGTCGAACGGCGATTATTTCTGCTCTGCTGTCAGTGCTGGCTGGAAGTTCACTCTGAATGAAAGTTAGGAGTCAGTGCAAGGAAAACAGGAAAGGGGGGATGCAAAATGCGTTATTGAGGAGCCACACGAACAAAGATTTCTGCTGCCAGTGCAGTGCTGGTTGACTGTTCAATATGAGAAAACCTATGCGGGCGATATGATCAAAGGGTTGAGCACTATGCTTTCGATTTGACATGATAGCCAACTAAGGACGTTTCAAGACGTCTCTGGTCTTACAAACCCAGAAATGTTAAATGCTGTTGGAAAAGAATCAAAACACAAGGACTGTCCGAGGATTTTCAAGACCCACTATGGACGGTCCGAGGCGTTAAATGCTGTTGGAAAAGAATCAACACACACTATGGACGGTCCGAGGCGTTAAATGCTGTTGGAAAAGAATCAACACACACTATGGATGGTCCGAGGCGTTAAATGCTGTTGGAAAAGAATCAACGCACACTATGGACGGTCCGAGGCGTTAAATGCTGTTGGAAAAGAATCAACACACACTATGGATGGTCCGAGGCGTTAAATGCTGTTGGAAAAGAATCAACACACACTATGGACGGTCCGAGGCGTTAAATGCTGTTGGAAAAGAATCAACACACACTATGGACGGTCCGAGGCGTTAAATGCTGTTGGAAAAGAATCAACACACACTATGGACGGTCCGAGGCGTTTCGAGACCCAAAACGCACCAAGAATGGCTGGTTCTAGGAGCGATCGATGGATGGATGGACGGATGGACGGACGGACGGATGGATGGACGGATGGATGGACGGATGGATGGACGGATGGATGGATGGATGGACGGATGGATGGATGGATGGATGGATGGATGGATGGATGGATGGATGGACGGACGGACGGACGGACGGACGGACGGACGGATGGATGGATGGATGGATCATTTCTCATACAGGTACCGACCAACGAATCACAAAAGGCAGGGCAGGAGGGGGTACGTACGAGCAGTGGCCAATCAGAACGTCCCTGCAGGCCTGTGCCTGTTCTTGTCCCATACATGGCATTCCAAGGCGCTGACACCTGCCCTCAGCTGCAGCTGAAAACACCCTCAGGAATTACTATAAGTGCAGGCAGGGGGTACGTACTAGCAGTTGCCAATCAGAACATCCCTGCGCTTGTTCTTGTCCCATACATGGCATTCCAAGGTGCTGACACCTGCCCTCAGCTGCAGCTGAAAACACCCTCAGGAATTACTATAAGTGCAGGCAGGGGGTACGTACGAGCAGTTGCCAATCAGAACATCCCTGCGCTTGTTCTTGTCCCATACATGGCATTCCAAGGTGCTGACACCGGCCTTCAGCTGCAGCTGAAACGTCTCGTTCCACACAGGGGTGGTGTGGCCGTCTGTAGGAACGAACAAGGGCAGGGGAGATGAAAAACAGGGAGGGGAAGGGTCTTGCTCGATTGAGTGTTTGCCTCACCCTTCGCCATGCCTCATATATGAAGCATTTTTTTGCAAGCAACATACCTTGGTGAATCTTCATGCAATGCTGTTGGTTACCATGCTAATACTGTAACACCAAGTACGGGTACTGCTTGCTTGCTTGCTGTTTTTTGAGTCGACTCAAAACACGACTGCTTGCTTGCTTGCTTGCCTGCCCCATACCTCGCCATGTCTCACATACGAAGCATCGCCGCAAGCAACCTACCTTGGGCCTACCTTGGAGAATCACCATGCGGTGCTGCTGGTTACCATACTATTACTGTAACACCAAGTAAGGGTACTGCTTGCTTGCTTGCTGCACGCCTCTCCATGTCTCCTATGGAAGCAACTTACCCTGATGTGTCTTGGTGCGGTGCTGCTGGTTACCAAGCTTTAACACTACGTAAGGGTCCTGCTTCCCGTACAACTCCACGTCATCTAGATCCTTGCAGCCCACCACTGGTGCCACGTGGCAAACCGCGAGGAAAAGTAGGGGGGGGGGGGGGGGGGGGGGGTGTTTGGGAGAGGGGATTGCGGGGGGGGGGGGGAGGGGGGAGGAGAGATAGGAAAGGAATAGGTAAAGTACTGAGCTTGCTTGTATGTTCCTTTTTGTCATAAAAGTGTGGAGGGTGTTTTCCAATAAGGGACTGATTTTCCGCTTACTCCAAAACGATAAAATAACGACCAACGAGTAACGAATAGAGGCCAACGACTTGGAGTCCAGAGCGACGAGCAGAGAGCGACGGTCAACGAGTTTGTAAAACTACTCCAGCGGCGCTCGGGATCATACGACTGCAGAGTGTTTTTGAGAATTCTCAAAAACACTCCAGAGCGACGAGCAGATAGCGCTTTTGAGTCGACTCAGAAGCGACTGCAGAGTGTTTTTGAGAATTCTAAAAAACACTCCAGAGCGACGAGCAGAGAGCGACGGTCAACGAGTCAACGCGTTTGTAAAACTACTCCAGCGGCACTCGGGATCATACGACTTCTTCACCTTCCTGGAAGTTCCGTGCGCCGTGATGTCTGACGCCTGACGACATTAGATAATCCCTCACGTCTGACGTCACATCCGTCATTCACTGCCTGTAACGACATTCGATATTTCGTCTGACCTACGTTCACCGAAGCCTGAGGCGACGTTTCCGTTAGCTACGTTCGCGACATCCCGTGCTCTTTTTTGGCAAAGAATCACATACCAATGACTGCATCCCTGAACTCTATATTCTGATCGAGTGATTAAATTTCTCACCCGTGACGTCTAGCCAGCCAGAAGCCATGACCGAGGCGCGGCTGAACCTTTGCCGCTGCTTTCGCCTTTTTTCCCTACCCTCTTCGCGGAAGGACGCGTTCTAAGAATCGAGACACGAGCGATGATCGAGAATTAGCAACGTAAGAAGCCACAGCGTCGAAGTCTAACGAAGGCATTCCTGCTTGTTGCGGACAAGGCAATGGCTAAGAAACGCGGCGAGATAATGAAATGAGCGGCCCAAAATGAATGGTAACTAGTCACTGATTCCAGCCACCATACTGATCAATCTTCTTTGTGAGAACTCACACTACACCCTGTTTTTCGCTATTGTGAATGCCGGTATACTGAACCCTGTGGCTCATCGCGCCAAATTACGCGCTATAGTCAACTTTTGCACCAGTTCGGTTTGACGAGGTCAGCTACCTTTGAAGACGGTCGGTTGAAATTTTAATATGGCTCGGTAGGGTACCCAGGTTAACGAAATTTCGGATCACCCGCCTCCTAGAGACGGTTATTGTAAACTTTTCGAATACGTCCAAGGAACAATTCCACTGTTCAGTGTGTTTCCGTAGTTCAGTGTAGCGAGAATCAGGGTGTAATCGTTTTGGGCTCATGCTGCACCGCAATCGAGAATGGTTCATGGATTTCACCTCTTTAGACCGTTGCAGGCCAGACTGAACCCTTGTGAAATAAGGAATATGACTCATCACAAGCTCACAACCCTGTTTCCCGAACGAAGAGGAACCAATCAGATTCGTCGAATAGGAAGTTGGAGAAGGAGGTGCTGTTCGCCAGCACATCGATTCTTGAACAGAAAACGATGGCATCGGCATCGCGACCGCATATGGAAACGGGGGCGGAACCCTCCTCCGAGGTTTGGGCGTAATGCCGCCCGAGAAACTTCGGGCACACGAAATGGGAAATTACGCAACCGCGTCAGGAAGGCCCATCCCCACCTTCCCCTCTGTGGCGCGAAAGTTTAGCCTCACTGACCCTTGTGCTGCCCGCTGGCCAAAATTTGCTCAGCGTGGGTTAAAGCGCAAATAAAACACCCCCCGCTCAAACACAACCCCCGCCACCTCGTGCTCACGACCAAGTTATGTGCGGGGGGCATTTCGAAGGTGTGTTTGGGATGGAAAAATGGGGGGTATACGAATCCCCCTTTGTCAAACTGCAGGCTTGTTCAAGGGTTCCCCTCTGAACAGCAATGCGTCGGCTGTGCCACCACTGTGCTTTGAAAAACGCGGCATGACGATGGCAGGCTAGGGTTTGGTATTTTGCCTGGGGACGAAGTTTCGTCACCGTTTCCATATGCCGTCGAAACGTTAGAGTTGGTGGACAAAAGTGGGCGTTAGCCAGACGCCCAGTTTGTTTGTTGGTTTTGACGGTAGGTGAGGCTCGGCACTTTTTTCACGGGCTGACCCGGCTGACGGAGGTAAACGAACTCTAACTGACGGGATCAGGAAGGCGAGAGGAACACTCCTGATCCCGTCGGTATCCCGTTGTTTTTGCTATAATGGTGCTGGCGAACAGCCCCGGAATGGTCAAACCGATCAAGTTTGCTTGGATGAAATCTCGACAAAGCGAATCTAAGATACGCTGTGTGTAAGGACCGAAAAAAACAGCAGGCTGAATACGATTTCACAAAATACTACACGACGTAAGAAAGTGGACTGTATACAAAAGCTACTTCCACTTTTTACCTTATCATAGTCCCTTTTGCCTTCCTACATTGTGATCTTAAAACCAGGGTGCACATTCAACGCGGTTCGGCTTGAGATGTTGGGAAGGGGGTTTGGAGAAAAACAGTGATTGGCTCACGAGGGGCGACAAAAAAATGATTCCGCTAGAGCTTCGGGCATTTCGTAGGTGGCGGGAGGGGGTGAAATGGCAAGTGTGGGTGAAACCGAATGGCGGGAGGGATGAAACAGATTGGCGGGAGGGGGGGGAAACGAAATTGCGGGGGAGGGGGGAAACAAAATTGCGGGGGAGGGGGGAAACGAATTTCGACGGGGAGGGGGAAATGAAATTGCGGGGGCGTGGGGAAACGAAATTGCGGGGGAGGGGGGAAACGAATTTCGACTTGAAGGGGTTGAAAGCACACCTTGTAACCCACTCAGTCAAGGGATAACCTTTGATGCACATTCAGCTGAATGTGCACCCCGGTTTTAACGCAAGCACTTTCCATGATTCTTGCAGGCATAGCTACATGTTGTCCCTGTGGTATTTATATTCAACCTTTCCATAGCACCCGCAGTTTTCACCTGCAACACCACCACATTTGGTAGATTTCATTCAATTTTCAGATGCGCATATCTTCATTAGCTATTGCCACGTGCAGCATTGTCATTTTCTTCTGATCAGTGCACCTGCGCGACACATCTGGGAGGGTGACACTATGAAGGATGGTGGTAACACGTTATACTGCAAATGTAAACAAGGCCGATGATTGGTACTCTCGGGATTATTGCCCCTCCAACAAGGCGAAGCTGGAGGTTTCCAAGATGGTGAGGGAATGGATTTGCGATAATCAAGTTCCCCTTAGCCCCGCCATTTGGCACGGTCACCAAGCGAAAAGTTACCAACCCAAGCTCCAAAACTCAAATAAGCTGTCTTAATAAATTCTGCGTGAAACAAAATCTTGGACTAGCAAGGAATGACAAACATTACTTGAAGAAGAATCCACCTTTGAAACCTTTGTAGCCCTTGCCTTTTCCATAATAACCTGCACCCCACCACCACAGCAGGTGATACCAAAGGATAAAATAAAAACATTGCGGGTAGGTAGGGAATGAAGAACACTTGGCTTCTCAGAGGAAAAATCAAAACAGGACACAATTGAGGAGAATGTGAATCAGGAAGCCAGAGCGCAGGAAAAATAACAACAGTGTCTAAACAATGGTATCACATCGCATATATTGACGACAATCACTGTACACAGCACCATACTTGATAAGAATCAGCCTAGAGAACAGCACGACAGCGTTAATGCAGGTTTGCACATACCATGATGCTTGATGCACGTATCATGGTACCCACGACCATGCACCACCAGCACAACTATACTAGGACAGAGGTTGCCAACCAGGTGAAATGAGGGTGTTTTTGAATTGTCTCAAAAACACCCTCATTTCACGAGGTTGTCAATCAGCAACGAGAGCAGTCACAGATGTTCACACATACATGATGCCTCACGCATGTACCATGATGCGTTATCCATGTATCAAGATTGCCAATGCCCGCACCTTGATGTCTAGTGCGCGTACTACAATGCATTATAAATTATCATGGTGTGAAGGAACAATGCATGTGCCTCGATGCCCATGGTCCCATAGGCACACCCTTGACTTGGGGGTGTGCATTGGACATCAAGGTGCGGGCATCAAGGAACGCGCCCTTGGTGCTTATGGCTCACCATTGAGGGCGGAACAGTAGCCATGCAGGGTGGGAGCAGGAGGATATTATTAACATGATGATGCTTCTTGCATATACCATGATGTTCCATGCACGTACCATGATGTTCCATGCATATACCATGATGTTCCATGCGTATACCATGATGTTCCATGCGTATACCATGATGTTCCATGCATATACCATGACGTTCCATGCATATACCATGACGTTCCATGCATATACCATGACGTTCCATGCATATACTATGACGTTCCATGCATACACCATGACGTTCCATGCGTATACCATGATGTTCCATGCATATACCATGATGTTCCATGTACATACCATGACGTTCCATGCACGTACCTTCGTGCCTATGGCCATGCACCACCACCACAGGCTGAGTGCTGTAGTGAGAATAATACCCTTGAGGGGTCATACCATACTATCGCAATAGAGCACGCAAACTCACACTATCACACGCACCATGATGGCCATGATGATGCACAACCACCACACGCTGGGCGCTGCAATATTGCACCATCACACCATCACACCATCACACGTACCATGATGCCCATGACCATGCACCACCACCATAGGCCGGGTGCTGTACTGAGAATAATCCCCTTGCGGTGGGGCCCCATAGCCATACGGAGCGGGAGGAGGAGGACCATATGGGGCAGGAGGAGGAGGAGCGTAGGGATACCCATAGGGGGGAGCTTGAGAAGGTGGGGGGTAACCGGGATATCCGTAGGGGGCGAGTTGAGGAGAAGGAGGAGGGTAGCTGTATGGGGGAGGGGGATAGGGGCCTTGGGAGGGGGGGGGAGGATATGTGGCTTGAGAGGGGGGGGGGGAATATGGGTCTTGAGAGGGAGGGGGAGGATACGGGAATTGAGAGGGAGGGGGAGGAGGATAGGAGTCCTGAGAGAGAGGAGGGGGATATGCGATTTGAGCAGAGGAATGTGCTGGTGGTGGTGCTGCTGCTGCTGGTGCTGATGCTCGTGCTGATACTGCTGCTGGTGCTGCTGCTGGTGCTGCTGTAGATGCTGGTGCTGGTGCTGGTGCTGGTGCTGGTGCTGGTGCTGGTGCTGGTGCTGGTGCTGGTGCTTGTGCTGGTGCTGGCGCTGCTGCTACACTACCTCCGCTCCCAGCAGCACCAATAGCCAGAGCACCCATTGCCGCCCCAACTGCTGCTACAGCCGCCCCGCCCCCCCCTATGTGCTCTCCTGCACTAGGTGCTCCCTGCACTGACTGCTGCTGTCTTCCTGCACTAGTTGCTGGCTCGTGGGAATAATCTGCTGCTGTCGTGGATTGAGGGGTGTAGCTGTAAGGAGACGAGTTTTGAGACGCCTCAAACCCCCCCCCTGTGTACTCTCCTGCACTAGCAGCTGCCTGCACGGGCTGCTTCTGCCCTGCACTGGCTGCTGGCTGCTGGGAATACTCAGCTGTTGCCGCGGATTGAGGGGTGTAGCTGTAAGGGTAATTGGGAGGAGGGTTGGCGGGTGGGGAGGGAGAGGGGTAGGTGGGAGGGGGGGAGGGCAGTGGGGGAGCAGCAGCAGAGGGAGCAGCAGCAAAGGGAGCAGCAGCAAAGGGAGCAGCAGCAGAGGGAGCAGCAGCAGAGGGAGCAGCAGCAAAGGGAGCAGCAGCAAAGGGAGCAGCAGCAAATGGAGCAGCAGCAGAGGGAGCAGCAGCAGAGGGAGCATTGGAGCCCCAAGAATCACTTGCTGCAGGCGCTGCTGATTGAGGAAGAGGCGGAGAAGGAGGAGGAGCGTGGGGGGAGTAGTTTTGCTGGTTAGCAGCGGGAGGAGGAGCAGGGGAGTAGTTTTGCTGGGTGGCAGGGGGAGGAGGAGCGGGGGAGTAGTTTTGCTGGTTAGCAGGATGGGGAGGAGCAGGGGAATATTCTTGCTTATTAGAAGGAGGAGGAGTGGGGGAATAGAGCAGTTGGTTAGAAGGAGGAGGGGGAGCAGTGGGATTGTATTCCTGCTGGTTAGCAGGGGGCGGAGGAGCAGGGGGGTAGGATTGCTGGTTAGAAAGGGGAGGGGGAGGAATACGGGGGGGGTATTCCTGCTGGTTAGCAGGGGGCGGAGGAGCGGAGTAGTAGTCCTGCTGGTTACCAGGAGGGGGAGGAGCGGGGGAATAGGCTGGAGGGTATTCCTGATGGTTAGCAGGAGGCGGAGGAGCAGAGGGGTAGACTTGTCGGTCAGCAGGGAGGAGGGGAGCGGGCGAGTAAACTTGCTGGTTAGCAAGAGGAGGAAATGGGTGTACCTGGGGTTGGGGAGAAGGAGGGTTAGGGGAGTGAGTGGGCTGCTGTGTTGATGCTGTGTAGTAACTGGGAATGGGAGCAGTTACTCTTGCTGCTCCTGCTAATGCTCCTGCTGATGCTCCTGCTGCTATCCCTGCCGCTGCTGCAGCAGCGGCTGCTGCGGCTGCTGCTTGTGCTTCTGCTGCTGCACTTGGGGAAAGCATGGCCGAAGCAGGCGCGGACATGCTTGACTGGGCCTGGAGAACAAGAAGGCAGGAAGAAAAAGAGTATATTTGAGGTGAGTTTTGAGTCGACTCAAAAGTCGCCTTGCTGCTGCACTTGGGGAAAGCATGGTCGGAGAGCAGGTGAGCCAAGGCTTGACTGGGCCTGGAGAGCAAAAACGCAGGAAGAAACAGAGTATACGTGAGTTCACGCGTATGTGATAGTCTGAGACTCTAACGGGAAAGAAAGGAAAGGAAGAAAAAAAAACAGGACATCCGTGACTAGGCCTGGAGCAAGAAGGCAGGAAGAAATTGGTATATGTGAGTTCACGTGTATCTGATAGTAGTCAGAAACTCTAATGGGAAAGGAAGAAAAGGAAGAAAGAAACAGGTGCGGGCATGCTTGCCTGGGCCTGGAGCAATAAGACAGGAAGACACAGGAAGTTGGGTTACACCATTTTGTAAGTGTGTTTAAGTCTGTTGTAGTTGAAAGAGTATATTGTTACAGACAGAAAGCACTTTCATATAGAAAAGGCCTGAAGGGATGTTATTTGGCTCTTCGGGAATGGATTTTGAGTGAATTCAAAGTTTATTTGAAAAAGCCCAAAGTAAGCATGGAAACGGAGCTAATGCTCTTTGGCTCTTCAAGATTTCAAATAACAAAAGTTTCCCAGTGATCTCCCTCCAGCGCACTGTTGAGGCGCCTCAAAAGAATTCAAACAACGAAAAAATCCCTGTGATCTCCAGCGCACGTGCGTGTCGGTTAGTAGTAGGATCTTTAGGCGCATCAAACTTCTAGCTATGAGCCTAGATGCTTGGGATATCCGGCGCGTGACAGTTAGTAATAGTAAGAGGCTTACAGAAAAGTACTTCATAACGAGACGAAGGCGGCCCTTTTTCCTGCAAAAGAATGCCAGGAGCAGCACCAGGAAAGGAAGGAAGACAGAGTAGAGAGTAGAGTGACATTATGTTCAAGAGGTTGCCTGCCAGGTGAGGTGACTTTTAAGTCGACTCAACTCAACAGTCAGAAGAATACGTGTTTTGAGTCGACTCAAAACACGGAAAGGAAGACAGAGTAGAGAGTAGAGTGACCTTATGTTCAAGACGTTCCCTGACCAGGCTAGGTGACTTCTAAGTGGACTCAACAACCAGAAGAATGCCAGGAGCAGCACCATGAAAGGAAGACAGAGTAGAGAGTGGATTGACATTATGTTCAAGACGCTGACTGACAGGCTAGGTGACATTAAAGTTGACTCAACAGTCAGAAGAATATCTGGAGCAGCACTAGGACTTTTGAGACGTCTGTAGAGGCACCTTCAAACTGAGTAATAATCAGATACTTCATCAAGTGAATATGGGCCAGAGCAATGAGCGCTTATGTCCACTTTTGTTACCTGTTGCAACGGCAATTCTTACCAAAGGAATTGAACTGTTTTGTTCTTCTTGACAAGTTTCGAGGCGCCTCAAAACGGCAGGGGCAAGAAAAAGTGGATTAAAGGTTGGGCACCTCAAAACCGGGTGCGAGTTGGGGAGTGGATGTGGGTTGCCCGATGTTTTTTTGGTGACTCAAAATCGAGTCCGCTTTTTAGGAACCTCAAAAAGGGGATGTAGGTCAAAGCAAAGCAACGGCATACGTTTGTCTCTTGGTGATCAGAGGATGCCACGTGTCCCATGCTTCTGCTGTCAGTGCTGGCTGAATGTCCACGCTGCAAGAGATTGAGCAAAGAGTAGAAGGGAAGGAGTTAAAAGGGGGCACAGGAAGTGACTAAAAGGAAGCAGAGTAATTGAGGTGCAAAGTTTTACTGTCAATGCAGGGTTGAAGGTGTAGGTTTTAGGGTTTCGGGTTTAGCTTGTGTCAACTCAAGACCCGTTTGACCCATATCATCTCAGGTTGTGTCAACCTGTCCGGTCAGGTCGACCCGACCCGTTTTTAGGTCTGACTGGTTAGAGGCGGGTCGGGCCAACTCGATACGCCCTCTCTCGGGTCACAACCAACCCGACCCTTATAAGCCCAGGTCCGGACCAACCCAACCCCGCCGCACCCGACTCGACGGGCTGACTTCTGAGTTGAATCAAAAGTCAACCCGACCCTTATAAGCCTGGGTCCGGACCGAACCAACCCCGCCCCACCCCACTCGACAGGCCCTCGGGTCACAGCCAACCAGAACCTTATAAGCCCGGGTCAGGTTGGCAGGCCCGGGGTCCCGACCTGACTACTGGTCGACCCGACCCGACCCGACCCGACCCGACCCGACCCGACCCGACCCGACCCGACCCGACCCGACCCGACCCGACCCGACCCGACCCGACCCGACCCGACCCGACCCGACCCGGCCTGACCCGATCCGACCCGATCCGACCCGACCCGGCCTGACCCGATCCGACCCTTACCCGACCTGACCCGACCCGAACCGTACCCGGCTCGAGTTGATATGCAGAGATGAGTCTGACCCATTGCTCATGTCTACATAGGAACACCAACCAGACAACGGGTCGACCTGGTTCGGTTCGGTTCGGTTCGGGTTGGTTCAGTTTGGTTTGGGTTGGTATGTATATAAGAGCCTGACCTGACCGCTTATGTCAACATAGGAACACCAACCGGCCAACCAATCAGAGCAGGCAGGGGGGACTTACGAGCAGTGGCCGATCAAACTGTCCTTTAGCTTATTCTTGTCCCACACGTGGCACTCCAAAGGGCTGACTTGGCCCTTTAACTGCAGCTGAAACGTCTCGTTCCACACAGGGGCGATGTGGCCATCTGGAGGAGCGAGGGAGGGCAGAGGAGATTGAGAAAGGCGCCATCAGGGGTGATGTGGAACTGCAGTAGCTGATTTGAGGCGCCTCAAAATACTGTCCACTTGCTCCTCTGCCGTCATGTGCAGCTCACACTCCTCTGCCGTCATGTGCAGCTCACACTCCTCTGCCGACATGTGCAGCTCACACTCCTCTGCCGTCATGTGCAGCTCACACTCCTCTGCCGTCATGTGCAGCTCACACTCCTCTGCCGTCATGTGCAGCTCACACTCCTCTGCCGACATGTGCAGCTCACACTCCTCTGCCGTCATGTGCAGCTCACACTCCTCTGCCGACATGTGCAGCTCACACTCCTCTGCCGTCATGTGCAGCTCACACTCCTCTGCCGTCATGTGCAGCTCACACTCCTCTGCCGTCATGTGCAGCTCACATTCCTCTGCCGTCATGTGCAGCTCACACTCCTCTGCCGTCATGTGCAGCTCACACTCCTCTGCCGACATGTGCAGCTCACACTCCTCTGCCGTCATGTGCAGCTCACACTCCTCTGCCGACATGTGCAGCTCACACTCCTCTGCCGTCATGTGCAGCTCACACTCCTCTGCCGTCATGTGCAGCTCACACTCCTCTGCCGTCATGTGCAGCTCACATTCCTCTGCCGTCATGTGCAGCTCACACTCCTCTGCCGTCATGTGCAGCTCACATTCCTCTGCCGTCATGTGCAGCTCACACTCCTCTGCCGTCATGTGCAGCTCACACTCCTCTGCCGTCATGTGCAGCTCACACTCCTCTGCCGTCATGTGCAGCTCACACTCCTCTGCCGTCATGTGCAGCTCACACTCCTCTGCCGACATGTGCAGCTCACACTCCTCTGCCGTCATGTGCAGCTCACACTCCTCGAGCCACACGGTGGTGGTGTGGCCGGGTTTGCGGGCGAGTGCAGGGGAAGCGGAGAAAGGGGAGAGGAACTGCAGCAGAATTAGCAGCAGAGCCAGCAGCAAAGTCAGAGGCAGAGTCAGCAGATTTGATGCTTATACCATAACATGCATCCACCACGTACAGATTGAATTGAATTGATGACACCTCACATATCTAAAAGCTGACTCAGCACACGTCCATGTGCTGACTCAGCGTATGGAGTGAAGAGTTGAATTCCTTGGTGGACCTTGGTGCGATGCTGCTGGTTACCATGCTGTAACACCAAGTAACGGCCCTGCTTGCTTGCCGTACATACACCTCTCCACGTCTCATGCATGAAGCATCCCTTCAAGCAGCCTACCTTGGTGGACCTTGGTGCGATGCTGCTGGTCACCATACTGTAACACCACGTAAGGGTCCTGCTTGCCATACAGCTCCACGTCATATAGATCCTTGCAGCCCACCACTGGTGTGGTGCCACGTGGCAAATCGGGGGACAGGGGAGGAGGGAGGAAAATTTGAAAACAAACAAAAGGTTAGAAGGCAAGTGCAAGAATAACAAGGCAGCTTGCAACGAATATCGAGCAACGACTAACAGACAATGAATGAATAGGGATAAACAGCTAACGAGCAATGAGTAATGGTCAACGATCAGCGAGTTTGTGCTTCTTTTTAATCCGTGGTGCGTGTGACATTAAACGTCACCCAACCACACCTTCCCAAATTACTGCGTGACATGGCGTCAGTAGGACATTCCCCCACGTCAGAGCATTGAGACGTCTCTTAAGAGGTACCGCGCGACGTGGCGTCACTAGAATTCGAGGCAACGATTCCTTTTCATTTTAGATTCCTTTTCCTTTTAGGTGTTTCTTTTAACCATGACCCCACTTTCCTGGTCCTAAATGAGCTTCAAAGCTAAGAAAGTGACGTTTAACTACCCCGACCCGCTGACATTGTCCCCTCCTTATACGGAATACCTTTCAACCTCACATTTGATCTGTTTTTGTTCAAAATCGCCCAGCCACACTTACCATTCACGTCTTATCAGCAGCCATGACATTTCCATTGCCTCTAGCTTCTTACCCGTCACGTCTAACCAGCCAGACGCCATGACTGACAGAAGCGTCGCCGCGGCAAACGTCGCAGCTCCTCCTGCCTTGTTGCCTGTTTCAGGGTGCTACTACCGTCTTCGGCAGAACGTCGTCTAGGTGATAAGAGTGATTATTTGAGACGTCTCAGAACGTCGTCACAATAGCTAGTACTACCACGGACCTACGGGCGAGGTCAGGTCGTACGTCTCCTGTGCGGTGCACCTCGAATACCACTTTCAGGGTGCTACTACCGTCTTCGGCAGAACGTCGTCACAATAGCTACTACCGTGGCACGGACCAACGGGCGAGGTCAGGTCGTACGTCTCCTGTGCGTTCTCTTCTCTGCGGTCCAGCTCGTTGCGTCACGGAGCAAAACGGTACACCTCGAAATCCACCTTCCACCGTGTGGAACCGTTCTGAAACACGGAGACTGAACTGGAAAGGTAGGACCTGACCACGCCTTAAGCCGTCCCGTCAGACCACCCTAAATGGGGTTAAAGCCAAACGAATGCGACACGAGTGAGACTGTGAGGCGAGAAGAACTTCAAGGGCTTCAAGAAATCGCTGAAGTCCGGGAGAGGTAACTTGGAAGCTACACAATGGACGGCTACGATCATAAGATTACCACATCGCGGCGACTCTAGCTACATTCTCTTGAAACTGGTCCCACGCGGGATTATCGGCCGCCGACAACACTTGAAAACATAGCGCATTGATTTTAAAGCCGCGGTGCAGATATCACTGCGCCAGTTCAAAGTATTATAGCTTGAAGGGCGCGTTACCCAGTATACACTGGAAGTCGAGCAGGCAGAGCTTTCTGAGATCGGGGGAAGGTCGTGCGGAAAAGTGCCTCGCAGCATGATGAGTGGGGGGGAAGTTGGGGAGGGCTTGCGGAAAAGCACCGCACAACAGCATGAAGGGGGGGCCAGGCATCAAACTTGAAACTTGAAACTTCAACTCAAAACTACTCAAACTCGGCAATCTCTCGCGTTAGGCTAGGTTACTACCAACTTGAAGTGCCTTCCCGTAGGGCTACTGAGAGCCATTCGCCTCAGATCTATCTCTATTCTTCGCCTCTTAGTGTGCGCTCGAATATCTGCGCTATTTCGTACCTCAAAAAACACCACGGCAGTCGTACCCGTAGCGCATTGCGCTAGATTTCCTCCGCTGTCGTCGTTCAGTTTTCCCTCTCCCGTCCCTCTATTTCTCACGAATCGGCGGTGGCAAGCAGCGACGATGGCGACAGGCAGGATTGGGTGCGACGGTAGCCAGCATCGGGGCGACGATAACGAGCAGAGCGGCGACGGTAGCGAGCAGGGTTGCGATGGCAGCGAGCAGGGTTGCGACGGCAGCGAGCAGGGTTGCGATGGTAGCGAACAGCATGGCGACAGCAGCGCAATGACGATAGTGAGCAGCGATAACGACAGTAGCGAGCAGCGGGGCGACGTTAGCGTGCAGCAGGGTGTCGTTAGCGAGCAGCGGGGCGAAGCATCTGTTCCGACGGTGGCGAAGCATCTCGCGTCCAAACCTCGCAAGCGGCTTTAGCGAGCGATATTGGTAGCGATGCGGCGAAGGCAAGGGTAGCGAGCAGACAGGGCCGGAATGGGAGAGGAGGACAGGGGGAAAGGGTGGGAAGAGCAGCGATCGATGCTATAGGCCCCTGTCCTTCTTTCCCTTTCCCCCACTCCTTCTATCCCTTCCCCCCTGTCCTTCCCTCCTTTCCTTCCCACCCTTTCCCCCTGTCATTCTCTCCCTTTCCCCTTAGTCCTTCCCTCCCTTTCATCGTTTTCGTTCCTCCTGATGCTTAATCCTCCCCCCTGTTCTTTCTGCCCTGTCCCCCTATCCTTCCCTCCCCTTCTTCTCCCTCCCTCCTTTCCCCTCTCCCAACCCACTGCTCCCCCCTGCTCTCATCCGTCCCCTTGCCCCCATTCGTCCCTTTTCCCCCACTACCGTCGCTGCTTTTCCTGCTCATTTCCCCCTTTCCTGAACCCTTCCTTTTCCTCTCTCACATCCCTTCCCGTTCCCACTATCCCATCCCACCATTCACCCTTCTGATGGCCATCCCTTTCCCTCCTCTCCTGTCCCTCCCCTGTCCTATCCCATTCCCCCTGTCGCTTTCTCCTTCCCCCTGTCCTATCCCATTCCTGTCCTAGTTCAAGCGTGAGAGATTGTTTGTTCCAGGGCATTCCCCCCTGCCACCATCCCCCATGACACATCCTCCTATGCCACACCTTCGGTTTCACGCCTCCCCATTCCCGAACTCCCCTTGTCCGTCGATACCTTGGCCTCTTGCCCTTCCCAGGAGGCAGGATTGGGCGCGACGGTAGCAAGCGGCTCGATCCCACCGTCTCTCCACCACCAATCCTCCTCTCCCCCACTCCCGCCGTCCCTCCTTTCTCCCGTTACCGTTCAAACCTTCCCCCCGTCCCCGTCCCTCCTTCCATCGGTGTCCGTCCCTCCTTCCCCCACCATCCACCCTTTACCCTACCCTTGTCCTTTCAAGGCATCCCCCGATTCCTAAACCCTTCCTTTCCCTTTCTCCCATCCCTTCCCTTTCCCCCTATCCCATCCCACCATTCACCCCTCTCCCGGCCATCCCTTTCCCCCTCTCCTGTCCCTCCCCATTCCCCACATCCGACCCTTCCCTTTCCACTATGTCCCCTCAGCCAATAGTTTCGCTTTGCCACTGTCCCGAGCCCATCATACCTCAGTTCCCATCCTGCAAGCGCGGTAACTGTGAGCAGCAGCAGCGAGCTGATGCAATGATGGCGGTGTGCAGTGATGTCAAGTGGCGACGGTGGCAGACGTGACGACATCCAACCCTCTGCTCCACCGCTCCCAACTCCGCTGCTTCCCTTCACCCACCCCGCTGCTTCCCTTCACCCACCCTACTACTTCCCTTCACCCACCCCACCACTTTGAACCTTCGCGCACCCCACTGTTTCTGCCAACCCTCCATTCAATTTCCCCATCGAACATTTTTCACTTCTACGGCTGGTGTCCTTCCCTACCCCCCTCCCCCCCTGCTATCGGTGGACAGCTGCATCAATAATGGATCAGAGGGGTGTGAAGTTTGGCTCATCTTGGAGATGCCATGTAGGATTTAAAGACACTCATGTTTGCCTGCCATGTGTACATTCGTTGCACCCCAAAAAAAAAAAGAGGAAACAACCACCCCAAACTTTGATCTTTCTGAAATCCTCGAATGTGCCTTTGATTCGCAGAAAATGATATTTGTGTGGTACTCAGATTATTTGAAATACAAACTCTTTCGTTATGCAATGTAGAGATGACGGCGTATTCATGGGTTCCGATTTTCGCGTTGTCGTGTGTGTTCCCCCCTTCCCTCCCCCCACCCCTTCCCCTTCCCCCTCACTTTCGAGGTTCGCGAGGTTCGCCTCAGTTGTTTCCTTTTTCTCTTCATCGCAACACAATCTACTCTCTCGCTAGCCAATTGGCAACCAGGAAGGAACAAGACAAAAAACTGTTTGTCACTGTTCTTAAGATATCTGCACCGCGGCTTTAATTACCTCACACCAACGCGGCACAATCCGGCTACACCTTTCAGCATCATGTTCATCATTCTGATCAACCCAGTTCCCACAGAAATCTATGTGCCCCCATTATCGGCACCCTTTTCCCAGCTACAGTGATTTGCCATAAACCAATCAGGTCCTGATGGTGAAGCTCCTCCTGCCACATTCGAACCAATCAGGTTGCCTGACGAACAAATATCGAGAAAGCCGAACAGAAATACGGTACGCGTTACCAACGAGAACATAGTAGGTTTAGAAACATGGTTTCTTGGAAAGCAAGCACTAACAATGCAGTCTTATTTGTAGCTTGTGCCTGAACCTAACCTACTTCCACTTATTATCATAGTGGTCTTTGCCTTTCTTTTTGTGCTCTTTGTGGTAGCATTTTTTACAGTGTTTGCAGTCGCAGAAATCCTTCTTTTTCCGATCTTCTTTATGCGAGTGAGACCGGTTGTCCTTGTATCTGTGCTCTCCCTTACCGTGAGAGCTACTGCTTCCACCTGCAACGCCAAGTGAAAGAGAGCGGAGAAAAGGGAAGAGAGAATGAACACAAGTGAAATTTCTGTGGTTGAGGAGGCATTGATAGGGAAAGAAAACCAGAGCGACATGATAACATGGTCTTACCGCTCTTATGTCGTTCAAATGAAACGGGTGACGCGGAGCGGTTACCACCACGAGCGCGATCGCTGCTGGCATCACAGTAACCACCAGGGGCAGGTGGGGTAGGATAACCCCAGGGAGCGGGGTACTGTGCCCCACCCTGCTGATAAGGAGGTGCAGCATAGGGATAATAGGGAGCGTTAGGAGGAGGGGGATGGTTCGGATAAGCACCAGGGGGTGCTTGGGGAGGGTAACCGTACTGAGAGGGGCTGTATTGAGAGGGATTGCATTGAGTGGGAGGGGGAGGGTACGGATAGGGATACTGATTTGGGGCAGGAGGGTTGGGATAAGGGTTGGCTGTCGCAGGGTTGGCAGGATATGGGTGGGATGATGACGTTTTTGGGGCGGCGTGGGTGGGTGGAGGGGCGTGAGGGTAGGAGTGTTTATGAGGGTGTGTGATAGAAGGGTAGGTGGCAGAGTGGTCTGAAATGTCTGAATCGACCGATTGGGATGATTCAGAGGGAGGATAGCTTGAGGAGAAAGACGAGTGATTCGAGCGGTGAGAACCTCGTTCGTCCTTATTTGAGTGTGTGGATTCGAAAGACCGATGCCCCACTTCTGCGTGTGCAGATTCGTTAGTGAGAGAGGAGGGGATGGTGGCAGAGGAGGGAGAAGGGGAGGAGGAGATGGAGGGATAGTAACCACCACTGGGGTGATGGGGGTCGGAAGAGCTCTTGGAAGGTAGGGAAGAGGAGGAGGGAGAAGGGTAGGAGACAGAGGGGTGAGGGTAGGAAGGGGTGGGATGGTGGGAGGACCAGGAGGGAGAAGGGTATGAGACCGAGGAGGAGACGGTGGAGGAGGAGGAAGAGTAGGAAGAAAAATGGGACGAATGGATAGGACCCGTGGAACAGGATTGGCTGGTTGCTGTATGAAGAGGATGAGGAGGAGGCGGAAGAGCAGCAGCAGGAGGAGCAGTAGGATATGGAGCATGAGCGTACATAGGCACGGCCTGTAGTTGCGGATTGGGTTGCGTTGCTACTTGTGCAGTGTTATTACCCCCCAGCGCCCCCATCATTCCCACCCCTCCTTTCACCAAGGGGGCCTTGGCTGCTTCTATCGCATTCCGAACCAAGTCTTCAGCCTCGCCTGACCGAACCTTGTCCATAGCTCCGGAAACAGTGCCTGTCACCATGCCCATCATTCCAGTCAGCACAGAGCCACCACCTGAAAAATCACCTGACATGACACCTGCCATTGCCCCTGTTACCGCCTCCTGCATGCTTGACATAGCCCCTGTCAACCCCCCTGAATGCCCACCCGAAGCCACCCTGGGCGCGCTAACCAAAGCTCCTCCCGAACCTCCGACCGAACCTGTGACCAAACCTCCGACTGTACCTCCTCCCGACCCTCCCGATCCCCTTCCTAAACTCCCACTCCCTTCTGCCCTCCCCGACAACCCTCCCTCTTCCCCTTCATCCCCTTCCGCAATCGCATCAGCCCAGACCTGCTGCTGCCCTCCCCCCTGCCGCCCCGTCACACCACCAGCACCGCCCCCTCCTTTGTTCTCAAACACAGCTGCCGCCGCGGTGCTTTGTCCTTTAGCTGCCTCTGCCGCCCGGCTGTGAATGCTGTGACTGGGCGGCAATCTCCCTGCTTCTGCCAGGATCTGGTGAATGGTAACCAGCTGCTTCTGTGACACGGTGGTGCGCAATCTGGACCGTCCGATCGCCTTGCTGCCGCTGGTGGTGGCGCTGCTGGTAGTTCTCGTTTTGCCGCTGGTGGTAGCCTTTGTGATGCTGGTGGTGGCAGCAGGAGGAGTAGTGCTGATCGTGTTATGAGTCATGGGTTTGGGAGAAGAATTCAGAGCCGTGGCAGCAGCAGCTGCAGCAGCAGAATCAGCACCACCTGGGCCAGCACCCACAGGTTCGGCTCTGATGCCATCAGGTGCTGTTCTGTTGTCACCAGGAGTTTTACCAGATGCACTACCAGTATCACCAGTTGTCATTCCGAGGCCCTCAGCTGCTTTCTCGAATTCAACTGAACCAGGTGTTTCTCTGCTACTGCCACCAGGTGCTCCACTGGTGTTCTCAGGTGCTTTTTCAGATTCACCTGAATTGACCACACCCGAATCTCCCTCCTCACAATTCTCAGCAAGCATGCGATAAATCGCGTCAATCCGCTGAGACAGCCTGGCAGCAGCTAAGGCCTCTTCATCCATGGTGTTAAGAGGGGCACCCACAGCACCTCCAATAGCTACAGGCAACGCACCCTCGTCCTCTCCCGATTCTTGCTCCCAAGTCGCCCGCCCGATCTGCCACCCAGGCACTTCGTCCTTCGCCTTCCCTCCTCCTGCCCCCTCCATCCCCATTCCTACCACTGCAATACCAGCAGCAACGCCAGCAGCAGCACCAGCAGACTCATCTGTAGCGGGGTCTGGTTCGATGTGTGCTGCAGCCAGCATACGTTCAATCGCATCCAGCTGCATGGAGAGGTTAGAGCGCGGGAGGGAGGTGGGGCGGCCAGAGGAGGAGGAAGAAGAGGAGGAGGTGGGGCGGCCAGGCTCATTGCTCTGCTCTGTGCCTTTGTCACGAGCACTGACTTTGTCGTCACTACAAGTAGCATCTGCTGCAGCGGTGCCGTGTGTAGCGTTGATGCTGTGAAGGGCCATGGAGAGAGCAGAGCGGGGGAGAGACTCTGAAGCTGCGTTGCTGCTGCTGGTGCCTGTATTACGACCACTGCCTTGGTCACTACTAGAAGCATCTGTTGCAGCGTTGCCGTGTGCAGCATTGATGCTGTGAAGGGCCACGGAGAGAGCAGAGCGAGGGAGGGACCCTGAAGCTGCGTTGCTGCTACTGGTGACAGCTGCGTTACACTCTGCTGCTGCTGCTGCTGCAGCTGCAGCTGCTGCTTCTGGTGGTGCTGCTGCTGCTGGTGCAGCAACTAGTTCAGGCAAGGGAGTGGCTCCCAGCTGCTTGTACTGGGGATTCTGGAGGGGGGGAAACAGAGTGGCAAAGATAAAGAATTAGTGTCCAACAAAATTCAAAGGTGTGCATTGGGAAATGAGGCGACTGCAGGTATGAGGCATGGTTTGAATCGTCTCAAAAAATGAATTTGAAACCAACTCAGGACCCAGCCTTAGGGCATGATATGATGGCAAGACATGAGGTAAGAGATGGGGGTAAGTCACGATTTATCTATGAATGGGTGCATACCGGATGGTATTTGATTCTCAGGCGAATGCTGCCCTTCTTCCTGCAAGAGAAGAGTGAGGAAGGGCGGAGCACAGACAGATGGAGATTCGTTGGAGCAGTAGAGAATTGATTGACGGAAAAGGCGTGCACTTAAAGCACATGAATGAGACATGCACTTAGGGGGTGCCCAGCAGGCCTCTTGTATGTTCTTTGTGGTGTAGTTCATTGCGGTGCGGTGCAAAGTGGTGAAGCTCAGAAACCGCTTTCCACCATGTGGAACCATTTCGAGCCACAACAAAAGAGCTGTGCGCATACTAGCTGGACACCCCCTCACAGCACGCAGGGTTCAGGGTGTAGGGTTTAGGGTCTCAAGTTTAGGGTATGCTTGGAAGAAATGAACATACAGGGTGTTGGTCCAGACCAGAGAGACATTAGCACTTGATTCAAAACTGGACTGCGGTCATGGGGGGTGCATTATAGGAAGCTAAACAGCACTATCACATCACTCACACTTGCTTTGATGTGTAAAGAGGATGCCACGTGTCAAACACCCCTGCATCCAGCGCGGGGGTGATACTCACCCTGCAAAGACAAGTGGAGAAACGGAGGAGCAAGGAGGAGATGAGGAGAGGAGGGATGGAGGACAAGTCTGGAGAGACCCACACGCAACAGCAAACTCATTTGTCATCTCTACACAGACTAACCTACATTTGTCATCTCGCCAAAAGGCTGGTCCTGAGTGAGGGTACTCTCGTTCCACACGCCCAGCCCAAGGCGAACTCAAACCACACACCATACTCTGGTCTGGTGGGCTGGGCTGATGGCTGACTGACACGCAAGGCGAACTTAAACACAAGCACCGATAGACTTGCACCTCTTTGTATTGTACCCACTGGCAGCAGCAGCAAGCACTCACTTGCAGCCGCCAATGGGGCTGTCTTGCGTGAGGGTGTTTTCGTTCCACACGCCCACAGTGAGGTCAATGGAACACATTGTTCTGGTAGTTGATACGCAGAGGCGATCTCACGCACAATAACCACTCGCTAGCATTGCCCGTCTCCATACTCACTTGCAGCCGCCAATGGGGCTGTCTTGGCTGAAGGTGTTTCGTTCCACACGCCCACAGTCAGGTCAAACATGTTGGGCTGGTAGTTGATGCGGACAGGGAATCTCACACACAAGCTCCGATAGCCTTGCACCTACTCACATCCAGCAGCAAGCACTCACTTGCAGCCGCCAATGGGGCTGTCTTGGCTGAAGGTGTTCTCGTTCCACACGCCCACCGTCAGGTCAAACACGTTGGGCTGGTAGTTGATGCGGACGGTCTCGTTCCACCTGGGGGTCGTGTGGCCGTCTGAGAGGTGCAAGGAAAGGCAGAGAAGGGCATGGGAAGCAGCATGTGACTGAGTGTTCAGTCAGGTCAAACCTATTGCTGGGCTGGTAGTTGATGCACACTGTCTTGTTCCACTGGGGGGCTGTGTGGCCGCCTGAAGGTGCAAGGAGAGGCAGGGGCGGGAAGCCGCATGTGCATGTGCGAGTGCGTGGCGAGACAGGCCAAAACAGACAAGTTGGGCTGGTACCTCATCCGTACTGTCTCATTCCACTGGGCCAGTCACAAATGGTGCAACCTAAATCAGTAATGTAGTTGGTCAGTCGTACCTTTGTGAGTGGCCGCACACTTGTTTTGCGAGCCAGAGTGCAGCACCACATAAGGGTTCTGCCAGCCAGCGGCAGAGCTACGTGTCCTGCCTGCTATCCACTTTGCTACGGCTCCCAACCTGCTGTTTTGCCTCTCTAAACCCAACCCACCTTTGTGAGTGGTCGTGCGCTGCGCTTGCATTGTGAGCCGTACTGCAGCACCAAATAAGGGTCCTGCCAGCCAGCTGTAAAGCTCTGTGTCCTGACTCCTATCCACTTTGGTACGGCTCCCGACCTAATGTTACCCTCTCTAAACACAACTCACCTTTGTGAGTGGCTGTGCGCTTGCATTGTGAGCCGTACTGCAGCACCACGTAAGGGTCCTGCCAGCCGTAAAGCTCCGTGTCCGTCAGATCCTTGCATCCGACAGCTGACAATGAACCAAGGGGAATGGGGTGAGATGCAAGAGGGGTTTATTTAAAAGGAAGGAAGGGGCTCGGAGACAGGAAAGGGATGGACGGTTTCCGTCTAAAACGGGGCAAGCGGAGACAAGGCGGGAAGGGGTTAGTTATGAAAAGCTGTCAAATTCAGGGCCTCACAACAATCTCATTTGATCATGTGACGTAGACTCGAAACGAACTTGTCACCTCATATGCCTCCGGATTTTTCCTTTCCTCTTTATTTTAGTAACGCTCTCCTCCCCATCCCCTCCTCCGCTCCTCCCTCCCTCCTTCCCCGACCCCTTCCCCCACTCCCCCTTCTCTAATTTCTCACGTTCACGGCATTCATTACTGTCCCGCTTTATATGACTGTGAATCGATTGAATAAACGAAACGAGTTATTATGCAACCAGAAAAAAAATCCGCATCAACCCGCTCCTTCATACATTTTCAACGAATAATTCAAATCTGATGAAGTATGCCGATTCTTGAGGAGCATAACGATGACGCGCCTCAAAAGCAGGCTTCGCGTTCAATTAAAAGGAACAGATGAGCCTCGACTATCATTCTTCATCTCCCAGCGCACTCACTCGTCCTAGTTGGTGAACGCTTTTTAAAAAATCTAACGAAAACGCTTCTACTGTGTGTGGGACGAGATGAGCTTCGTTTTCGACAACACATCCTTATATAGCAGCGCGCTTCCTCGTCCAAATTTCTCTTACCTGCGATGCCGTCAATGTGTACTTTTAAGTAAATCTTTTAACCACTCCTTGTTCCGAATATGTTTTAGCCGCATGATCGGATGGCGACAAACAACATTGATGTAGTTGCGTAAAATCAGATACGCTTCGATACCTGTGACGAATCATCTGTAGCGTGCTACCATCTCCAACCGTTTTTTCGAAATATATTACCTCTAATGTCAAGCAATATAGCAGCTGTAGAGCTCATGAGTCCAGACCTTGCGACGCATTTTTTTACATATTATTATCCCTAATCGTTGACCTGAAGCATCGTACCTGTAACGTCCAGCCATCCAGCAGCTGCAGAGCTCATGAGTCCAGACCCTTCCTCCCTCCGCAGCGCCTGTTACTTTCCGTCTCGACACAATCCAAGCCGCGACCGTTACCGTTAGCAGAAGAAACCTGCCTGCTTTTTACGTCGCTAACCTTCAAAGACGCAGTAGAAACCTAGCAAAAAAAACCTGGAAAAGCTGTTAAAGAATCCTTGGAAACTAAAGCCCGTGCTCTCGTTTCTAGGTTAGTGGGGTCAGGAGGACTCGGAACTCGTGCGGGAGTCGATAGTACAGGCGTGTATAATCAAGACTCGTGTCGTGAGGGGCCAGATATACTTGGGGAGACTCGTATGGAGGACGCTCGAGCCTCGAGATTCGAGAAATCAAGGCTCTGGTGGTGCTTCCACCACAGAATTTGTGGTGACGGCACTCCCAAGGGCCATTCACTCCAGTCACACTTATAGCCCAGCCAGAATTTCCATTCTCAGCTGTATCTGGCGACCGCTGTAGTCACAAAATGTGTGGCAACCTTGGGTTACCGTACCTTCAATCGCTGCCGCCCAGTTCATCAACAGACCACCACAAAGATTTGTCGTAGTGTCCAACAAAATTCGGCAAAACGTACGCGATACCATCTATCTTCGTAACGAAAGGTCTGTACAGATATATTAACTCCCTATGCCCCAGATATTCAGAAAGAGTCTGAAGAACTTGCTTGCAACAAACGGAAGGGCATGTACGTACTCATCACACAGGTGTCTGTCAATTAGGCACCAAAGAATGTGTGCAATTATTGACAACGTACTATATCTAGAGCGAGTCCTTTCCTAATTGTACCAATGCTCATAGCTTTGAAATCAAACACGCATGTTGTGGTATCAAGATTGAAGGAACCTGCAACTGGTGACATGCTCATGTCCTGTACAATAGTTTTGTAAATTATCAGTGATATAACTTCGGTAGGTGCCATCACTTTGTATGCAGTGCGATCGTCAAAACATATCATCGTCTCTTGTAAAGGCAGGGTTTTAAGGCAGGCCACTTAACATCAGCAGACACTGAGATGTTATTCTTCACCTGTCCTTTCTTCAGCTGTAAGAACAGCAGCATTCCATACAGTCACCCGTCTCCCACCAAGTCCAACACATCCATTCATCAACGCAAAGCACACGAGTACAAATGGAAATGAGAGGTGTACACAATCAACATCTTATGTATTGACAAAACCACAATGAGAAAGTTAAGAGGTGCATGCGAAAGGGAGAACATCTCAGGTAACATGCGCTTGGGTTTACCAACGAGTAAACATGTAAGCAAGCAAGCACGCGATAAGCAAAGAAAACATTATGCACCAGATTGTGAACAACGCGAACACTGATGGTATAACAATAACTTCTTTCATTTGTACCAGTACTTCCATCGTGTAATTGTTCCTTACCTTTGGCTGCCAACCTGTCACTCACCTCTGCCTGCACCTTCTCAAGGAAAAGTAGGAGAAACATCTTGTTGCTCAAATCCTGCCCCCCCCCAAAAAAAAACAAAGTACAAAGGCGGAGCTTGATTGACCCAAGAGAGCCCTGTGTTACGCAATCCAACCAACACTACCCACAACAAAGGCACCTTGGAGACGAGGCGAAACCCTAGGTGTTGAGTGGAGGGAGGAAGTGTGTCAGCTCCATCCCTCTGTTGGTGTGGCATACATACAGCGAAATGCAATCCAACACTACCACCCCATGACTGTACCTTGGAGACGAGGCAGAAAACCCAGGTGCTTGACTGTGGCAAAAAGCCATTCAGCTCAGCCCCTACTGAGGTTAAGCCTGGTAAGGTGCAATGCAGACCAACACTATCCACAACTGCACCCCAACAGTCTACTCAAATACCTTGGAGACAAGGCGGAACCGTAGGAGTTTGAGTGGCAAAAAAGCATTCAGCCCCGCCCCTCCTGTGGGTGAGGCTGGTACAGTGCAATGCAGAGCAACACTACCCACAACAGGATATGATGCCATCCCAGAACTGTATCCCAGGTGGTTTGGAGACTGTACCTTGGAGACAAGGCGGAATCCAAGCTGTTTCAGTGCAGCAACAAAGTCCTTCAATTCCGCCCCTCCTGTGGTGGGGTCAAACCGGCTCCTCACCTCGGCTATAATGAGTGAGCCCCTGTGTTTAGAATGGGGTGAGGGCAGGAGAGGCAGAGAGGCAGAGAGGGCACCATAAGGCACCTCAAAACATCTCCAGTGGAGGGGTCGAACCGGCTCCTCATACTGTACCGTACTGTACCGTACTATACCATACTGTACCGTATTGTACCGTACTGTGCGGTACTATAGCGTAGGAGAAACAGGCTCACCCAGGTTGCAACACACGGTGAGTTTCAGAGAGGAAGGAGGGGTAGTCCGCTCCCAAGAGAGCCCACATGCCATGCCATGCACCTCCACACCCCAATCTGCCGCACCATACCATACCATACCCGTCCCACGTCTTTACCCAGGGTGCAGCACACGGTGAGCTTCAGAGAGGAAGGAGGGGTAGTCTGCTCCCATGAGGGAGAGGCAGAAGACTGCGATGTTGACTGAGGCGGCTGGTAGGGGGGTCTGGGGCATGGAGGCATGGGGCCGATATGGGTTGGACATGGGACGGACACAGAGAGAGTCATGAGAAGTCCCCGGAAGGATTTTGAGAAATCTCAAAAACCAGCTCTCCAGAAGGAAGGAAGGACAGGAAGGAGGGATAGTCCGCTCCTATGAGGGACTGGCAGATTAATGCAATATCAACCGAGAAATCTTGTTGGGGGGATTGGTAGGGGGGCAAGGGGACAAGGGAACAATATGGGAGAGCGACACATTGAGTCTTGAGACGTGTCGAAACAGGAAGGAGGGATAGTCTGCGCCCAGGAGGGAGACGCAGAAGACTGCAATGTGGACTGAGGCGGCTGGTAGGGGGTCTGAGGCATGGAAGCATGGAGGAGATAACAGATTGACAGTTAAGGTGTGTGTGAAGCGGGAAGGAGGGGTAGTCTGCCTGCACCCATGTGAGAGAGGCAAAAGACTGCAATGTGGACTGAGGAGGCTGGTAGGGGGGTCTGGGTGGGGGGTGGAGGCACGTCGGAATGGGGGTGATGAGGAATAAACACGCGTGGTTTATGGAAGGAGGGGTAGTCTGGTCCCAGAGAGAGGCAGAAGACTGCAATTTGGACTGATGAGGCTGGTAGGGGGGGCTGTCAGGGGGGCTTGTATGGGGGGCTGTCAGGTGGGGGTGGTGAAACTGGGACGACATGGGATAGTCACACGTTGCTACAGTCACACGAGTGGTTACAGTCGCACACCACGCATGCCCCTACTCACATGCGCCATGTTGCACACGATCACATGGGGAGCAGCAGCTACCAGGTCCAACGAGACCCCTCTGTTGGGCACACTGGCTGCTAGCTTGCTCCCTTGTTACAGTCACATGCCATGCTTATAGCCACACACACACACATCATGCCCCTAGTCACATGCGCCCTGTTGCATGCGATCGCATGGGGGGCAGCAGCCACCAGGTCTAGGGTGACCATTTTGTTTCCCTCAATTAAGTCACACATGCTTACAGTCGCAACATGCTTATAGTCACTCATGCCATTCCCATACTCACATGAGCCATGTTGCATGCGATCACAACAGGAGCGGCAGCCACCAGGTCTGAAGAGGTCACCTTGTTCAGCACACTGGCTGCTAGCTTTGCCTCGTTACAGTCACACATCCTTATAGCCGCACACGGTTGGTTATAATCACACTCACACCACATGACCCCACTCACACGAGCCATGTTGCAAGCTATCACACCAGGAGCGGCAGCCACCAGGTCTAAGGAGGTCACTTTGTTGGGGGCACATGGCTAGAGTCACACACACAGTTATCGCCATACATGGCTACAGTCACATCACACACACCATGCCCATACTCACATGAGCCATGTTGCATGCGATCACACCAGGAGCAGCAGCCACCAGGTCTAAAGAGGTCACTTTGTTGGGCACACTGGCTGCTAGCTTCGCCTCGCCTGATGGAATAGTGGGGATTCATGGATTGGAACAACGAGAAGAATGTGAGACGTCACACATACTCGTAAAAGGCGAGGAGCAGCAGCCAGCAGGTCTAGGGAGGTCACTTTGCTCCGCACGATAGCTGCTAGCTTCGCCTCGCCTGTTAGGTTGGTGAGATTCACGCAGTCATGCGTTCATGGGTAGTGGAAATGAGGAGAGAGGGTGTTTGAAACATTGTGGAATCACAGTCTACATTCGCTGCAGCAGCCACCAGGTCTAGGGAGACCACTTTGTTTGGCACACTGGCTGCTAGCTTCGCCTCGCCTGTTGGGTTTGTGTGCATACATGTATCATGGAAAAGGAGATTGACATTTGACATAAGTGCATGCGGTTTGAGACACTAATAATAATAATAATAATAGTAATAATAATAGTAATAATAATAATAATAACAATAATAATAATAATAATAATAATAACAATAATAATAATAATAATAATAATAATAATAATAATAATAATAATAATAAGTCAACGGGGTCAACAGGCTTACCACATCCAAATTCGGTGGCCGTGAGTGAGGTGGCTCGTTGCTGGTGTGGATCCAAAGAGGAAAGCCAATGCAAGTCAACACAAGTCAACACAGGTCAACAAGGGTTAACACGGGTCAACGAGGCAAGTCACGGGGATCAACGAGGCTTACCACAGCCAAAATCAGCAACTGTGAGGGTGGCTGGTCGCTGGCAGATCCGGTCAATGCTGACGTGGATGTGAGGTAAACACGCAGGTCAACAAGGGTCAACCAGAGTCAACGGGGGTTAACGAGATTCAACCAGATTGAAGGGGGCTTACCGCAGCCAAAATCAGCAACTGTGAGGGTCGCTGGTCGCTGGCGGATCCAGTCAATGATGACGTGGAGGGGGTTGATTGGCCAGGATGCCACCTGCTCTCGATAGCCCTCGTGGTACTGTTCATGTGTGCATGCATGGGGTGGGATGGAATGGGTTGAAATGGGATGGAGTGGAATGTGTTGGGATGGGATGGGATGGGATGGGGCGGGATGGGATGGGATGGGATGGGATGGGATGGGATGGGATGGGATGGGATGGGATGGGATGGGATGGGATGGGATGGGATGGGATGGGATGGGATGGGTAGGGATGGGATGGGATGGGATGGGATGGAATGGGATGGGATGTGATGGGATAGGATGGGATGGGATGGGATGGGATGGGGTAGGGCGGAGTGGAGTGGAGTGCTGTGGGGTGGAGTGGGTTGGGATGGAATAGGAAAAGATGCAGCAGCACAAATTGGACAACTTTGTACCGATAGCCTTTGTGGTACTGTTCATGGGTGCATGGATGAGATGGGATGGGTAGAATGGAATAGGAAAGCTGAGGCAGAAACCAAAAAGGTGTGGCAAACTGCCCTCTGTTGCCACATCTTCAAATAAAGGGTTGGCAAACTTCCGTCTGTTGTCTGGTAAAACCGCTCATTTAATCATAAAAACTCTTCATCACCACTCTCAGAATAGTTTCCAGCTTTTTCTCTCTCTTCCCATCCATTCCTCTCACCTGTGCAAACGCGTTTGGATCTTCAAAATAAATCTGAAACGCTTTGTCTCCATCTGACTTGTAGTGTGTCTAATTCTTGGAGCTCACCTGGTCATTCATACCCCTCTTCACCACTTCCGACCTCTTTTCCATCCATCCCTCTCACCTGCGTGAACGCGTTTTGGTCTTCAGAGAACATCTGAAACGCTTTGTCTCCATCTGACGTGTTGAGCATCTCGCATTGACGTGCAAGGACATTCACTCATTTTCACCCCTCTGTACTCCTTCCAAATCCGTTTCCATCCATCCCTCTCACCTGTGCGAACGCGTGTGGATCTCCAGAGAACATCTGAAACGCCTTGTATCCATCTGACGTGTAGTGTGTCTAATTCTCTTGGAGCTCAGCTCATTTATTACCTCTTTTTACCACTCTCAAGCCCATCCCCATCTCATTGTCTATCCACAAAATCTCCCTCTCACCTGTGTGAAAGCGTTAGGGTCTTGAGAGAACATCTGAAACGCCTTGTCTCCATCCGAGGTGTAGAGCGTCTCGTTGAGCGATCGGAATCGCCCGCCTGCTAGGCGCGCCTTCATCTGATGTGATCGGTAGGTAACGGGAGGGGAGGGTAGGGGAAAGAAAGCACGTAAGTCTGTAACGCCTTGTCTCCATCCGAAGTGTAGAGCATTTCTTTTGAGTCGACTCAAAAGTCACATCTGAAATGCCTTGTCCCCATCCGAGGTGTAGAGTGTCTCGTTGAGCGATCGGAAGCGACCGCCTGCTAGGCGCGCCTTCATTTGATATGGAATGATATGATATGATATGATATGGTATGATATGATATGATATGATATGATATGGTATGGTATGGTATGGTATGGTATGGTATGGTATGGTATGGTATCGTATGGTATGGTATGGTACGGTAGGGTATAGCATGGTAGGGTAGGGTAGGGTATGGTATGGTATGGTATGGTATGGTATGGTATGGTATGGTATGGTATGGTATGGTATGGTATGGTATGGTATGGTATGGTATGGTATGGTATGGTATGGTGTGGTGTGGTGTGGTGTGGTGTGGTATGGTATGGTATGGTATGGTATGATATGATATGAACCCTGGACGTCCCACTCCTAAAAAATGGAATCTCATACTCCCAGAACCCCTGTTGACTTGACACCTTGCTGCTGCCTTGTCAAACGCCCACCCCACCTTGTCTAGCAGGCTGAGTTTCTTGCTGCCGCTGCTGCTGCTGCCCCCTCTTCCAAACCCCACTCCTAATCCTGCTTTGCTGCCACTGCTCCCTCCTCCTCCTCCCACTCCTCCCATTCCTTCCACTCCTCCGCCAGTGCTGCTGCTGCCTCTTGCGTTTTTGGCAGCATTCACACCAGCAACCACAATTGTGCTGTTGGCAGCACTCTTACCAGCACCCTTCCCTGCCGCAACTGCTTTCCCTTTCCTGCGCCGCCCCTTATTTTTGTCGTTTTCCGCAACTTGCACTGCTGCACCTGCACCATGAACCACCTCTCGTTGACTCTGGCCAATCGGGTCTCCCTGACCAGATGTACCTCCCCCGGGTATACCTGATTGACCTGACTGACCAAGTTGACCTAATTGTAATTTACCTTCCCCAATTGGACCCTGCTTCCGCTTGAACCCAAAACCCTCTCCCCGGGTAAACCCTTTGGCCTCTCCCTTCGCCTTCTTAGCGGGAGGATGCGATACCAACGGCCCAGATTTCGCCCCTGTTGCTGCTTCTTGTTGCCTGGCCGTCGATGCGTCTTGGCTCAAGGGCGTGGCTTTTCTCTTCTTCTTCTGCTTGTTCTCGTTCTTGTTCTTGTTTTTGGGCATGTCGTCTTCTCGGGAAATTCCGCGCGCACAAACTGGCTATCGAGGCACCTCAAAAGTTTCGCGCGTAGAATGAATAAGCTTCTGGTGAATCCCGCCTCTGGGCGTTGAGAGTGGCGATGTTGAAGAACAGGTTTACGATACCTGTAACGACACCTGTTACTCGGACGTGCGAGCTGTTTTGGACCCCTGAGCAAACGCCTACACACTTGCGAGAACTTCGCGGTCCAGCTACAACGTAAAACTGCTACGTGCAATGTGAAAACGGAATGTAAGTTGTCACGTAACGCGTAATTAAGATAGGCGACGCGGAATGGTTGAACTAAACAAAGCCACCGCGAGGTTATTACTCGAGAAGATAACGGCTAGTATAGTGGGGAGCTGATTTTTCCGTGCTGAAAATAGCGCGTTCTCAACCGTTTCATTTGTTTATTCGACCGTTTTCTAAACCATGTGACGAGAAACTCAGTGTGAAGGTACAAATTTTGTTCTAAATCGTTCTTTGACGGGTTTTTATGCAGGCCATCACAAAACATTTCGGAGTTATCACGAGCACTCACATGTTCCGCCAAATCTATCACGAACGGTCACATGTTCTGCCAAATCTATCACGAACCATCATACGGGTATCACCCGCCGTCACTCAAAGGCACTAAATTCTATCACGGGTAGTCACACTCTAAACTTTGCTATTACAGATGAACCCTCTCATCATTTCGTTGACCCGCCCTGAAACACTGTACAGATTTAGAGACTATAATTCAGGTTGCTGGTTTTTGTCATGTATACGCGACCATTTTGGGTGCAAAGATACATGGTTACGTTCGAATCGGCGTAACACACTTTAGTTTTAAAAACATTATGAATGAATTTGAACGCATATATATCAGAAGACATGGCAACACAGAAGGAGAGAAGTGTTAGAATAACGAACAGGAATGAATGAACCAGCAGCAGGATGGGTACAAGGAGCAAACCCTAATTTGGGTTGTACCCCATATGGGCTACCCCACTACAGCCTACACAACAAGCAACACATAGTTTGACACACCCCCATAGGCAAAGTGGGGGAGAACAAGAGGTCACAAGACCCATCAAGAAAGGCAAAGCAAGCTCAGGGTGGATTACGAAGTCACCACACAATCTGAGCACAAGCAAATGGCCACAAGGCCAGTTCACATGCAGAGTTATGTATAAAGGTGAGCAAACAGTACAGTGATCACAACCTAGCAAGTGTAAGCATGCAGGTATAAGTGTATAGATCACAGTACAAGCAAAGTCAAGAAGTGAGCAAGTGAGGCCAGGTAGGCACAAGACCTAAAACAGTACAGAAACGCTGATGATCATAAGGTGGAAGTGCCTTGGTGAAGATATCAGCAGTGTTGGCCTGAGAGGCCACGTAAGCAAGACGAAGCTGACCACGCTGCTGCAACTCTCGAGCAAGGAAGTAACGCAGAGCGATGTGCTTCGTTCTGTGCTCCAGTCTGTGCTCCTGACACAAGGCAATCATGGCCTTGTTGTCGACGTACAGAACTGAAGGAAGCCGAGTGAACGTAGCCAGGTGACGGCCAGTCCGGGAGCACGTACAGATCGCCACACGCTGCCCTCCAGGAATAAAGGTATCAACCCAGACATCCTGAATGGTAGCGTTGCTCACCAAGTTTGTCGAGAACGTGGGGAGGTGGAGACCTGACAGAGATCCGGAGCGGACTGCTGGACAAGGGAGGACCAAGGAGGCTCTCGCAACTACTGGGCCCCCAGAGGGGTCAGCCAGTGAGACTGGGATAGGTGCTGTGAGTGGTGTGACTGTGGTGCAATCACGAAAGAAGCAACGTGACGCGCCTGAGTCAAGTGTGAAAGTGTGCAAGTCCTCAGCGGAGGCAGGACCTGTGGCAGTAGACGCACTAGCACCTAGAGCGTCGGCAGACTCACGGGCACCTAGAGCAGCAGCAGACTCACTAGCACCTGGAGCGGCAGCAGACTCACTAGCACCTGGAGTGGCAGTAGATTCACTAGCACCAAGAGCAGCAGCCTTAACACAACGATAACCTCCACCACCAGGCCTGCCTCGCTGAACAACCCACTCACGAAGCTGCTGAGGGGTGGGGTCGTCCGGGAGAGGCAGTGCCCGCTGCTGTCCACCCCTGGCCGCAGCAACTGCCGCGATAGTGGCCATGACAGACAGCGACGGCCAGGAGTAGGTCCAGCACCTCCAGCTCCTCCAGCACCAGCAGCACCTCTAGTACTCCCAGCAGCACCTCCACCAGCAGCAGCAGTAGCACGAGTAGTAGCAGCAGGGCGGCTCAGTGGGGCTGGGCGGCCGCACCTCCAGCACTCCTAGCACCACCTCCACCAGCATCAGCAGTAGCACTAGTAGCAGCAGCAGCAATAGTTTATTATTATTATTGTTATTATTATTATTATTATTATTTAGGGTTTAGGATTGTGCGTGGCCGGGGCTGCAGGGGCGACGCGCGGCTCCGCAGGGCGGCGCGCGGGCTGCAGGGGCGACGCCCATGGGCTGCAGGGGCGACGCGCACCTCCGCAGGGCGGTGCGCGGGCTGTAGGGGCGGCGCGCGGCTCGGCAGGGCGGCGCCCAGGCTGCAAGGGCGACGCTCTGCTCGGCAGGGCGGCGTGCGGGCTGCAGGGGCAGCGCCCACGGGCTGCAGGGGCGACGTGCGGCTCTGCAGGGCGGCGTACAGGCTGCAGGGGCGACGCGCGGCTCTGCAGGGCGGCGTACGGGCTGCAGGGGCAGCGCCCACGGGCTGCAGGGGCAAGGCGCGGCTAGGCAGGGCGGCGCACGGGCTGCAGGGGCAGCGCCCACGGGCTGCAGGGTCGACCCGCGGCTCTGCAGGGCGGCGTACGGGCTGCAGGGGCGACGCGCGGCTCTGCAGGGCGGCGTACGGGCTGCAGGGGCAGCGCCCACGGGCTGCAGGGGCGACGCGCGGATCGGCAGGGCGGCGCGTGGGCTGCAGAGGCAGCGCCCACGGGCTGCAGGGGCGAACTAGCGGGCTGCAAGGGCAGCACGCGGGCCACAGGGGCAGGCACGGCTGCAGGGCAGCACGGTCGCAGGGGCAGGCACGGCTGCAGGGGCAGCACGGTCGCAGGGGCAGTACGGCTGCAGGGGCAGCACGGTCGCAGGGACGAGCACGGCTGCAGGGGCAGCACGGTCGCAGGGGCGAGCACGGCTGCAGAGGCAGCGCGGTCGCAGGGGCAGCACGCGGGCTGCAAAGGCAGCGCGGCTGCAGGGGCGGAACGTTCGGTGGGCCCTAGGAACGATTCTGCTCTGATACCATGTTAGAATAAGCAGGCAGGAATGGTGGACTAGGTAGCATGCATGAGTACAAGTACC